AATATTAAATTTAATTTCATTATACTGAACTATGATAAGTAAAAATTGCACGTAATGCTATTTACGCTACTTTGAATATCCTAAATTAATTTTTCAATGACTAGCGCTTACTCCTTAAAATTGATGAGAAAATCGTAAGTCTCTCAGGATGAATATTTAGATCAGAAAAAATAGGGATCGAGGAACCTCACAGGAATTTATAAAAATACTTAGATCAAAAATATTTAAATATTTAAATCAGAGAATATTCGAAAATATTGGCCATCTTCGTAAAAAAAAAAAAAAAAAAAAATCGCCTTTCATTCACACATTCAAAAAAGGAAGAACACCAAATACTTCGACTTTCCAGTGTTAGTCGCGTCTCTTTTGGAAATCGTCGTCGCGCGTTGAATCGAACGCTGGATTCGCGAAAGCGGTCCAAGGGAAGAATAATAGCTCGTAACGGGAGGACACGGCCGATTTGTCGAGTTGTACTACGATCCAGCGGCAGTCTCCATGAACGTCCACGGGGATGTTCGCAGATGAGTTACGCGGCGGACCGTTGAAAAGTCGCGCCGAGGGTCGGCCGCGAACTTTTCGCGACGGGGTGGGCCTTTTTGCGAAAGGGAAAAAAGGGAAGCTGGCCCGCGAGTGAAGGTGGAAAAACAGACAGAGCGCGGCTTGTAAGGATGGAAAGAAGGGGTGGATGGAGTACGCCGGCTATTAGACGGCACTAGCTGCCGCAAAACTTGGGAAAACTTATGAAAGTGGGATTGGTTTCGAGTACCATTGCGCAACGAGCCACCCTCTGCGTCACTCGCCCCTCGTTCTTTCTCCATTTGCCCTCAAGTTGTCTCTCTCCTTCGCCATTGACGGTGCGTGGACAGCAACGAATATTACCTTTGAATTTCACCGAACAAACGATCGCTCGTTCGCAGTGAGCCCAAGTATGTCTCTTGCGCTACCTTAGAACCCGTAGATTGTAACAATTTGAGTTCACAAACTCGTACTTAGACCGGTTGTTACACCGGTTTTATTAACACATTATCTCACGGATGACGCCATTCGCCGTCAAATTGAATACTGCCGTCTGTTACGAATGACGCCGTTTAGGCGTCACATGAATGTCCTGCGCAGTAATATATGTACGTACGTAGCTTTTGTAAAATCTCATTGCACATAGAAAGTTGTTTTACTAAATTTTATACGGACTAAATTTTTATTTCTGCGATTATATTGTGAAATATATATAAAATTATATTTATATATATTGTAAATTATTATAATAATATTATTTTTATGTTAATATATATATATATAATTTATATATATTATATATATATAATAAAATTAAAACTATATATAAAATTTTATTTAAATTTTACAAAAATTAAATTTTATGAAAAATGAAACAAATATATATATATATATATATATATATATATATATATATATATATATATATATATAAAACGTCAACTTTGACACAACTATCGAGATAAAGAACGATGTCCATTTTATCAATATATAAATAATACGTGTTTTGATAAATATGTAAGTCGCGAGTGATTTGTATAACATAACGATGTTTCGCTCGACAATTATTTTTTTTGAAAAAATAAAATACAAACGTTCAATAATTCACTTTTCATCCCTTGAAATGTCTGTTTCCTTTTTGTGTATCTGTGAAATAAAATAACATTTAGAAGTGATATATAATGTCATGAAATGTTAGGGCACAGAGAACAAAGCCGCTCGAATGACCGAGGAGCTCAGATAATATCCTACTCTTATTCTCCATATCCTATTCTTATTTGTTTGTGATAGCAGATAAGAATAACAGAAGATAATCAATTATGAGCTCAAGTACAGCTCATTGTCAGCATTAATTGGCTCATGCAAACAAGGTGTCGATGAACATAAACCTTCCTTAGTTAATATATAATACACCAACGCATAAAATAAATGTAAATTGTATTTAAATAAATATAAGAATCTACGTATCTTTCAATTATTATTGATCAATACTGCTCGGTGCACGTTTTATTATAATATCGACTAATATTAGAATCAAAATGATCATGTGATGCAATGAATTGAATAAAATGAATGAGTTTAGAAACGGAATAAAAATGAAAATTACGAATAAGTTTAAATTAAATAAAAATGACCAATGATACACAAGTGCTACGTGTTATACACAGTTATTTATAAAATTGTTCCTATACTCGACGAAAAATTGCTGACGATTTTAAACAGCTATAATTTTGTCAAAAAGGAAAAAAAAAATCGTATAACAATCCAGTTGACTTTATTTTAAAGCACGACGTTTTTCTCCCAAGATGTTTTTATTGATATCGTGCAGCAGATGGGAAAGTAACTCAGAGATACTTTTGTTCTCGAAAATGATAAAAATTCAAACATCCTTAACCTTTTACGCTAGAATGACGTGTCACGCACGTCGAGAATTTTTTGTCCTACAATTGCAACATTTTCTCAGTTTTAAATATATTTAAATGTAATTCAGGTAAAACAAATGATAAGTTTATTTATACTTCTTATAATTTCTATCCAGTAATATCGTACCGACGAGTTTAAAAAAAAAAAGAAAGCGACAAATTGAAGTACACGGTACGGTCACTCGTTATGGTCCGCGTGAACCAATTGTTAGCGCAAGGAGTTAACCTCTTAGGTAGCGCTGGAATGACGTGTCAGGCACGTTGAGAACTTTTTGTCCCAAATTGCAACATTTTCTCAATTTTAAGTATATTTAAATGTAACCCAAGTAAAACAAATGATAAGTTTATTACTTCTTATATAATTTCTATCCAGTGATCTATCGTACCGACGAGTTCAAAAGAAAAAGAAAGCGACATTTTATTGTACACGGTTCGGTCGTTCGTTATGGTCCGCGCGAGCCAGTTGCCAGCGCAAGGGGTTAAAGCCACTGAAAACATTTTTTCCATGACTGCATATCTCTAGAACTCGCCGCTTTGAACGTCAGAATTAGAGTTCATTAGTAGCATTAGAATATTCAGAGTTCAATAAAATGGCGAAAAAAAAATCGTACAGCAAGTTTTCTGATCGTTGTAAAAAGGAGGCTTCGATTTTCAAAACCATGATGAATCTAGTCGTGAAAAAAATTGTTCAGTGATTATACAAAGATGCTTAAAATTCAAAATATCGAATGTTTCATTGTGTGTATGAACAATTTTGTGTACGATATGCGCTCTAATGCCGGGTTCACACTGCTTTTCGCGAATAACTTGCTGTTGATAAACATTTTTATAAACAGTGATCAGCGAACTCTTGCTCAGGGAGGCAAAGTTGCTGCTCGTTGTTTTATCTGGACGCGATCGTAACCTCTCGCTTCCAAACTTCAGTCAGTATTCGATCTACTAACAGTGTTCCACTTTACGAACCACTTATTTCACGTTTATAGTTATTATTATTATTAAACTATTAATAGTTTACGAACTATTCACGAGATCCAGTGTGGATATAATTCGCAATACAGTTTGCAGCAGCTTTCACGAGCAGCTCCAGCCAGTGAACCTAGCGCAAGAATGAAGAATAATTACTAAAAAGTTTCGCCTCTTTTCTTCTTTCTTCGTGAGAAGAACTTTGCCCTCTTTAAATATATTATAATAAGAACCAATTAAAATATCTTATTTTTATTAGCAATGGTAGTAACATGGCTGAAAACTACATGTAAGTGAAGACTATATATGTAAAATGTAAAATTACTGAAAAATATCTTATTTTTATTAGCAATGATAGTAACATGGCTGGAAACTACTTGTAAGTGAAGACTATACATGTAAAATGTAAAATTACTGACTGATTATAAAAAAATGTATTGGTAATAAAATTATTGGCAGAGTTTTATGAAAAATCAACTTTAGTTATATAGAGACAAGGGGAAGAATTTGGAAGAAATCTTCTGATTTCTTCAATTAATATAATTTATATTTATGCTTTGTTTATATCGTGATGCCACGATACGAATCAAAAGCCACATTACAATTATTCATCGCATCGAATAAGATTTATTCGTCACTAACGAATAATTACTCGTTTTTTCGTTGTATTTTGTTCACTAATTTCGAAATAAAATTTGCCCAACTGTGTGAAAGGTCAAGGCTTTTATTGACAGAGAGCACACGTACAGATAAGAGGCTATTCCACATGGACTTTGAAGAAACGATTCCGTGGCATCGATAGTGCACATGCAGCAGAAGAATCAACAAGTGCATCGATAGAAATTTTTCCATGGGACCTTGTCCCCTTGACGCAATTTACTATGAATATCTTATTACACATTTATTAACAAACTTCGAGAGATCAAAAATGTGATTAAAAGTTAACTCCTTGGATATATTGAAATTTTCTCTAAAAAAAAAAAATATTCTTGTATTAAAATCAGATTTTATATTTTATTAAAATAATCGAAATAACACGTGAAAGTTAATATAAATGTAAACTTGATAGTTTTTTGTATTCCAGTTTGAGATATTTAAAAAAAAAAAGGAAGATATAAAATTGATGATAACTTCAACAAAATTGTTATTTTGAACTTTAATACGAAGATATCAATATAAAATGAACCATAAGAGGGTGTATAATTACAACCACAATGTATATGAAACTTAAATGCAATATTTATTTAACCACGTTCTTATTTAACACCCAATATGTATTATATATTGATATCACAAAATGTTTATTCATGAACGCGTTTTAGTTTATTGTCAGGCGCTTTATTCATATATATATATTCAAATCTTCATTTTATATATATATATATTCAAATCTTTACAAGATATAATTCTTTTTATTACCATATCTCTCGCATAAATCACTGAACTTAACATTAGTAGTTATCGTAACAAATTCTTAAGGCATTTTTCTAAAACCGCTGGAAGAGGGGTGCTGAAATCACGATTCATCATCGTCAGACTGAGATAATTGACTGTGCCCCCGTGCACTCTTGATAAGAATCGCTTATAAAAGTAGTAGGTTTCATGCAGCTAGCACATCAGTTACTTTCTAGTTAGCTGACAGTGAATTCAAGAAAAATGAGAAGCATCTTCGCGGTCGTTTTCGCCATTGCGCTGGCCTCGGTGCCAGTTAAAGCTGCACCGTCTAGCAGCAATCCTCCAGCATCTGTTGAAACTCAATTGACCGATTTTATCAGCCAAGCTCAAACAAACTTCAACGACTTAACCAAGGAACTCCAGGAACGATTGAACATACCCGATCAGGAGACCTTCGTGAAAAATGTCAAGGATCAGAGCAGCAATTTGATTACCAATATTCAAGAGTATATAAATAACGCTACCGAACAGGTAACGATGAAGTATCTACTCGGATTGAACTTAATTTAATACTAACTTGAAAACTTGGTCCCTACATTTTTCAATTGTGCTTAAAAAAAGACACAGAAAATATATACATGTATATACACAAAGTTTATGTTTACGCTTGTTTTAGATCAAAAATAATCCCGAATTGGAAAGATCGTGGAACAACGTTAAAGCCAAGCTGAGCAAAGTTGTTGACGACGTTAACGGTGGAATCCCGGACGCTCAGCAACAGGTCGCTGACTTGCAAAATAAATTCCAGCAAGCAGTCCAAGCCATACTCAAGGAATCCGACACTACCGCTAAATCTCTGGGCCAGTACTCCGGCAAAGTTCAGGAAGAGATTGCAAAGTTGACGAAACAGGTTGTCGGTATCGCCACGGAAGCAACGCAGAATCTAAACAATCAACTTCAGGCCGCCACAGCTCAGAAAAGCTAAAATAAAATTTTTCAATTAATAATCCCGCAAAAAGAATGTATATATGTTTTTCAATTTTTGTATCATACGCTGTGGCTATGAATTAAATAACTTACACCGATTGAAATTTTATCACTCTTCTTCCATTTAATATTTGAAATGTATCGCGACGAGTTTAAATATGTAACAGATATAAAACGTATGTATCACCTGATCAACCTCTAAAAGATACCACAATCGATTGTGATATAACAATTGTGCTTATAAAAAGAAATTGCTTAATCATCTGAAACAACGAATTGCTTAATGTTAAACATGTATGTGCGAATATTTGTTTAATGTCAGCACATACCATTCGACGAAAAATGTTCGGTTAAGAGAAATAAATTCGTCAGGAGGCTCTCCCTCTGGCATATGTATGTATATCGAAAAACTATAAGGACGTTGGTCAAATCGCATTGAGGATACAACAATTTTCATTCATTGACATTTCTCAGTACTGTCGTATCGATCTTTAATATTGTTTTCATGTGTACGATTATACATGCAATTTGATTTTAAAAAAAGAAATGAAAAGAATGAAAGCATTTTTGCTGCTGCTTTTTGCAATATTCTTGGTAAGTAACAACATGTTTTTGACCATTCAGAGCTGCACGTATTATTGCTGAACTTTCAATTAATCGAAATCATTATCATCCACTAGATGATAATGGCGGGAACGAAAACAACATTCGCGAAGGAGCGAAAAAGTGCAGAACTATCGAATGTCCTATCGAGCGGCTCAGACAGCCGTACCGACAGAGAGAAAAAGATAAACAAAGGATTCGAATGGATAATCCAAGGTGTGCACATTTTAGGTCAAGTGGACAACTTCATATCTGACAGAACGAAGAACATTATTCGAAAATTACATACAGTTTATAACGAGGACTATAGAGACGCAAGCGGGCAATCTAATCGAAATTCTAAATAAAACTATTAAAAATACACAATGCATCAGTTTTCTTTTTAACCGAGTATATATATATGTATAAAAATGTTGGAAAATATAACTTGACTTAGAAAATTTTCAAATAATTCTCAATAAAGAAAAATCTTCCCTGTACGAGCAGGTTGTTACATTTGAGGCTACATTTCCACTAGAGAAGGAAATATGTATGCACCTACGTGACTCTCGATGAGAACGGGTACTTAAGCATTGCGGATGATCTTTATCGGGGGGCATGCACGAATTTCTCACTAGGTGGCGACTGTATCTGACAGTCACCGGGATCGGGTTGATCAGGCGACTTGTGCTAAGTTTTATCGTTTACCACATGTTGATTAATTAAATAGAAGTACAATATCGTGGCCGAAATTATTATTTGGGGCTACCGTCGTTCGTTTCCTCGCTCTGTCAACGCTGAAATCCCACGAAGTGCGATTCACTGCGTGAAGAGTTACGGAGAGTTACGTCACGCGCTGGCAAGATATCGTGTGTCGAGCAGACCGTGGTCCCCCGTACGTCTCCTCGAATACAAAGTGTTCCTGCTTTTCTTTTTGCTTGCAATTCCCGTGTCTGTCAAAATTCGAAAGTCACGCACGCGCTAGACATTCGCGGACGGGTGTTTAGATTTAGCTACAAGCACTGGCGCATAACCTATAAGCGTGGATCGTGATACGAGAACCGATCGTGAATGTTGGTAGTTGTTGCAGCCAGCACCTCCTGTCAATCATTCACCTGGGGTCGGGAAAGATTTGAAAACTGAAATCTCGGACGAGGGAGTTACGTTTAAGAAACGAGAAAAAGAGACCGTCGGTATCTCCCTGCGCTGGGATTATTCGATTAAAAAATAATTTTTTAACGTTAAGTAGTCACCGGGAAATTAGTCAAAATTCCGGTCCCCACTAGGAAACGAGAAGGTCCGCAACAAACCGGCGGCAGAAACCCACTAACCACTGGCGAAGAATCCTCGTCGAGTGGAAAAATGAATAACAAAAGAAAGAATCGTTCAAATACAAACAGGTACATATTTTTTTTCTCTCTTCTGTTTTCGTTATGTATCCCCAGTATTTTTCTTTTACATTCCTTTCTTAATTAAATAAATTTTTTTTAAATGTTCAGCTGCGAGATCTTTTTGTTTTTCTTGACTTTTAAGCTTGACAGTATTTCTGGATTTTCTTTGCAAATGTAGTTTTATTTTTAGATCACCACGTGCCCGTGGTCCGCAAGAAAGATGCGTTGCTGCTGAAGGTGTATATAACAATGCCCATTTTATGCATGCAATAACCAGTCATGTTGGCAATATTGTACAGGTATTGGTATTATTTGGTAGAAATAAATTTGATACAAAGAGATAGAGAAAGTATATTCTTTATAGATTTCTTTGATAATAAAATATATAGTGTGACATAATTATTTTGATGATTTTTCCTGCAGTATATTTACGTTATTACAGATTCAAACGTTGAACGGTTCAATATATGAAGGTATTTTTCGCACCTTCTCGAGTCAATTTGATGTTGTCTTAGAAATGGCACATCGCGTGGAAGGCTCTGGAAAAATTAGTGTAGAAAGTGTAGTAGAGAAATTAATTTTTAAACCACAAGATATTATTACTATGTCTGCCAAGGATGTTGATTTAGATTATGCTATACGTGATACATTTAGGACAGACACTGTTATTAGTAAATATAATGGCTTAATTGGTGAAAAAGAATTGGAACCGTGGGATGCTCCTCCTGCTACTATGAATGGAGATGATTTAAAATTAGATGGAACGACAGTAAGTAATATTTGTAGTAATGGAAAACAAGTCTAAATATATAAGTAGTGTTTGAGTATGTAAAGTAAGTAAAATTAATTTTAGAATGGATGGGATGCCAATGACATGTTCCGCAAAAATGAACAAAAATATGGCGTTCAAACGACATATGAACCAACTTTGGCCGCTTATACATTACCACTTCAAAGAAAAGATACAAAAGATTACAAGGAACAAGAACAAAAGGCTGCAGAAATTGCAAATGAAATAGAGTCACAACCAAATTATAAAGCAAGATTAGAATTGGAAAATGGTGATGAAGAGGAAAGATTTGCAGCTGTGGTGCAGTTTTTTGCTATTGTTATAATTATACTTAAAAAAGTGCACAGTTGTCTTTTTTTTAATTCCACATAATTTTAGGTAAGACCTACCGAAGGTAAATATATTCCACCTCCGCTGAAGAAGAAAAATGGAAATAATGCAAAGCTGATGAGATCTAGTGACCCACCACCTTCACCAGGGCCTGCGACCGCTAATAAAAATGTGTTTAATCAACAATCTCCGTCCAATGTAAATGTGAACATTCCGCCAAATTCGAATCTCCCTATTGGAATGCAAAGTGCTCATCCTTCGGTACAACATCCGGTATCATTAAACATAGGAATGCCACCTACTGGAGTAGTGGTTACATATAACAATCCTCCACCACCATTTGTGCCTCCGCCAGCAACACAACCACCACCGCCAGGTCTAAAAGAAATTATATTCATAGACATAAAAATATGAACGGTTTCTTTTAAGTAAATTTATATTTATATTTATAGTACCTGTGATTCAACAATCACAACCACAGTCTCAAGCAACACCTTCTGTACCACAAGTCAGTTTCCCGCCACAACAGCAACAACAAACACCATCATCTAAAATAAATACAGAAAAACGTGAACGGCCTGGCAGGCAACAGGTGTATCAAGCAGATAAAGCACCTCCAGCACCATTCCCACAAACAAATGTTGCTAGCTCTCACCAACAGCAACAATCATCACATCAACAGCATGGGCAATTACCACAGCAAAATTCAGTTGAAGGACAACGATGTGAGATAGTTCCACATAAATCAGATCACAGAAAGGTAATGCATTACCTATAAATTATAAACTATAGTTGTAAGTATTTAATTGAAAGGTATGTATCATTAAAGGTGCCAACACCACGTAGTAGAGAAGAACAACATTCAGAACTGAGGCAATTTGCTTCAGATTTCAAGTTAACAGAAACTCCAGCACAAGATACACCACCTGCTACCAGAAAGCAACAGCAGCATCAACATCAACAAGATACTCATTCTTCACCTCAAATTACTCAGACACATCACCAATCTACTCATCAACATACAACATCGCAACAGTCACAACAGCAACCACCACCACCGCCGCCACCACAACAACAACAACAGCAACCATCACCACAACCACAACAACAACAACAACAGCAACATTCAAATCCTCCTCCACAACAGCAACAGCAACAACAACAGTCACATCAAAATCAAACTGTTCCAGAAGAATCTGTAGTTACTACTAAACCACCCCCAGGTCCATTACCTTTGCGACCTACAAGTCCTCCTCAGTCACAACAACAACAAAATACTTCTACAAACACACCCACTGTAACCCAAGCTCCGCAAGAAGCTACTGTCGATAAAATTACGACGGCTCTTAAAAAGTCAACATTAAATCCAAATGCTAAAGAATTCAATCCAAATACCAAAGCTTTCACACCGGTAAGCTATCAGTTTTAAAAAATTTGATTAACAATGATATAACACTAAATAATAATACAAATATTTACTTTCAGCGATCCCCAAGTACACCGACACCAAGTAGACCACACACTCCACAAACACCTCAATATACTGGAACGACTATGCCTGCGACTGTAGTAATGCCAGCATATGTAATGACCAGTCAGCCACCAACTGCATTCAGTCAACCACCGGCTCAGCCTATGACAAGGTTCCGGAAGGGTCAGTATCTAGGTATCCGCATCTCATTTCCAATTTTCTATTTATTAATAAATGTTTTATTATCATTTTTTACAACATACAAATCCTTTCTTTTGAAATAACAATTATATTAAATTATATTTTACTTTGGCTATTTCAGTACCAGTAATGCATGCGCAACATCGTGCGCAGGATATAGCTTCCCAAATGCAAGTAGTAGCGGCAACTGGACAGCCTTTAATGGCACCCGCTCCTCTACACCCGCCATTCCAGGTGCCTTATCCTGGGCAGCCAGCTTATCAACAGATGGTACGCATGGTTCAGGCACCACCACCACCGCCACATATGGCAACACCTTATCATCATCATGACTCACCAGGACCGCAGGCTCCTGGTATTCAATACATGGGCCCACATACACATCCACACCCTCATGTTGCTCAACAACCACCAAGTCAAACTCCCTCTCCAGCTAATCCTAATCCACCACATACACCAGGCACTTATAATCCTCCTGGTACTCCACAACCCACATATCCTCCACCACCTCCTCAAGGCCATGCTCCAAGTTATCCAATAATGTGTCCTATAATTCCTCCTCATATACCGATACCACCGCAGCACATGCAATATCTACCGCCGCAGCCACCTCCAGGAGCGCAGCAAACTATACCAGTGATTTTGCCGCACAATCAGTAGCTGCAATCAGAAATGGATGAAGGAAGAGAGAACTACTAGTATTCTGCAGAAGTAGAATAAAGTTTATAAATTTAAGTTACTTTCACGATGGCGTTAGGCACTTGAAATGACTTTCCTGCTTGTCATATACATATATCTTCAATAAGCAATCTTCATTTTTCTTCCTCTTCTTTTTTTTCCTCTTCTTTAATAGCAAGATCATTCCAGACAAAGTAATACGTGTTTTACTTAATTCAAATAATAATAGCAATTTTTATAAAAGAGAAAAATTTATAGAATCGTAGTAACGTGAAATAAAGTGCTGATCATCTTGAAAGTGACTTTAAAGTGGGTTAGTTAATTCCAGAAGACCCATGATAATATTTAGTCCCTCAACGTGTATTTTAATTTTAATTCTGCGAGACAGATGCAATACCACCATGTACTGCTATGTTATTAATTTACACAATGCTACAGGACAAACACAGACAACAAGAAAACAGACACAAACAAAGAAACGTAAAGAAAATTGGCAAACAAAGAAACGTAATTCGAAATTGCATTATAGGTGGTGCCTATATATATATTAGGAAATAAAAGAAACGAGGGACAGTGACTATAAAATACTGCAAGAAATATTAAAAATTAAAGAAATTTCATTTTTGATTATCATAGCTCGTACCACTTTGTAAACAATTTTATTAAGCCAAAATTCAATATGGTAAGGTTGATGACAGAGAAGAGCTATTCAATAGTCTGATGATATTGTATCTTTGAAGATTTGAGTACTCAAAAACAGAGTAATTGTGAACATCACGCGAGTAAACACTTTTTTTTATATAAAATAATTATTGGAATAATGTAAAAAAAACATATAGAACATATGAACATATTTTTCTGCTCGCGCTTTCATATTTGATATCCTACTGCAGTAAGGAAGCACAGGAACAGGTCGAGACAACAGTTCGAAATTTAATTAAATTGCGTTCAATTACATAAAGTTAAATAACACGATATCAAAATAATTGAGATTAAGTTTCAAATTTTGCAATTTGTTGATGATGGATTTTGTTATAAGATGCTAATACATAAGATCCTCAAAGCAAAGAGTAAATTGAATTAGAGAAAAAATATATGAGGAAATGGGTCTGACAAGTAATGTTCCAAACGACTCGACAGACGTTTCTGTCGTGTTAGAAAAGCATCTGTATATATAAAGAGGTACAAGCATATTAGATTTTGTTTAGTGATTTACAGTATAAAAACTCCAATATTATTTATGAATTTTATATTTGTATTGAAACAGATGAAAGCCAAACTAGAGATTTAAAGTGATACAGTAGGGAACGTTGCATTAATTGCAATTCAATTTTATCAAATTTCCTTTTTTTCAAGCTTAATTTAGATAAGTATTATGTAATGTCTTTATACACGATTGATTTTTATTATAGATTGTATTACAAATTAAAAGAAAAAGAAAAAGATATTGAAATTTGTAGAGAAAAAGTAATAATGATATTTTACTGTCCAATAAATCGAAGAATTTATTACTTTGAATGTTTAGAATTGTCACTACAATGAAATCGATTGTGTACCTCTTGTGTATAAACAAACACTGTCAGATGCTATGGTATTGAAAAAAAAAAATTGAATTACGGCCTTAGACCTAGTCGTGTACATAAAAGAAATGAAGGCAAGGATGATCCTTATCTGAGATAGTTGAATGTGTGGCATCGTTAGACACAAATTTTATATGGAAAAGATTTAAAAAAAAAAAACATCAAAATAAACTCAATGCGTTAAAAACCAATATGTGCATGAATTATTTTATTTTTGATTTCCTGTAAAACACCCAATTTTAATCGTACATATGCATGAATCGAATTAATCATCACAAGTTCCAAATTATAATTGTACGCTTGTGATGATTAATTCGATTCAACTATAAAACTCAAAGATTAACTTAGTCCAGTATTTCAGGAATATTAAATACACGCGAAAGTTAAAAATTCATTTATGTAAATGATATTTTTAAAAAACGTACAATGAAGTTATTAACATCGAATTAAGCCATCGTCAATATGACGGATTTCAGGCTTCCTTCTTTCATTTAACCCGGGATTACTCACCTGGGGGTCTAGCGCAGGTACATCCCGGCGACTAGACCTCCACGTGGGTAATCCGGGTTAAGGATACAAATATTTTTATCAAAATTTTTATCGATTTCTTTACAAATTTATTTATTTTAATTATTATGATTTGAATTATAATTTGTATGAACATCTTGATAATCTTATTCTTTTGTTAAGATAACCTATATGTATAAACCATATATACATTGTAGTTCATGCCAGTGATTCAGCATAACCTTATAAAATTATGTTGAAAGAAACGTAACATTAATGTTGCATATTTTTTAATTTTTTTTCAATGTAAAGAATAAATAAAATTCAAAATGAAAACGCAGAACTGGAAAGAATTAGAGTCGCCTTTAAGTGACTCTGTATTGAAGACCATTGAAGAATTAAACTTTCCTTATATGACACCGGTGCAGGTAAAATTTTAAATTTGAACTTTTTTGTAAAATAATAGTCATAATGCGAAATAATTACATATGCAGGCAGCTTCTATACCAATGTTATTAAACGGAAAAGATGTTGCTGCAGAAGCAGTAACAGGGAGTGGAAAAACAATTGCTTTTTTAGTTCCATTATTAGAAATCTTACAGGTATTACATACTATGGTTATTGTTTACTTAATAAATATTTATATATTTTGGATAAAAAGATGATGATAACTGTTTTTTTTTTTTAACAGAAAAGGAATGAAAAGTGGAAACCTACAGAAATTGGGGCAATAATAATTAGCCCTACAAGAGAGCTGGCTGTTCAAATAAGTGAAATTTTGCAAAAGTTTCTGAACAATATACCAAGTTTGAAACAAGTATTACTTGTTGGTGGTACAACGATTGCAATGGACGCAGACAAAATTCAAGCAGGAGCAAATATTATTGTAGCAACACCTGGTAGATTAGAAGATATGTTGTGTAACTGTAAATGTATAAACTTGGTAGCATGTGTAAAATCTTTGGTAATTAATTCCTAAATGTTTTCATAATATATTTTATTAGTGATATATTTTATTATTAACTTTTAGCAATATTATTTACAGGAAATACTGATCTTAGATGAAGCTGATAGACTATTAGATCTAGGTTTTTCTGCAACGCTAGATACAATATTATCTTATTTGCCACGTCTCAGAAGAACAGGTTTATTCTCTGCAACTCAAACAAAGGAATTACAACAGTTAATAAGAGCTGGGCTTAGAAATCCGACTCTGATAACTGTTAAAGAGAAACCAAATATTTCTACACCATCAAACTTAAAAAATAATTACGTGATTGTGAGTGCCGAGTACAAATTATCTATAATGATTGATTTTATTCGGCATAAAGGCATTAATTTAAAATATATGATCTTTTTATCTACTTGCGCATGTGTTGATTACTTTAGTCATGTTATACAAACGTAAGTCATATTATAAGTCATTCATATGCATTTTATTTGGAATAAACTTGACATTGTACATTTTTTTTAGTATGTTGCCATCTATTCAAGTATTTGCAATTCACGGGAAAATGAAAAGCAAGCGGTATAAAGTATTTAACGACTTTCGATCTACTGAAAGTGGGATTTTAATTTGTACAGATGTAATGGCTCGTGGTATTGATATTTTAGAAATGGATTGGGTATTACAGTATGATCCCCCCTGTTCAGCTAGTAGTTTTGTTCATAGGTGAGAAGAGATTTATTTTAAAAATTTCTTATTATAATTTTATCGTAATTTTCTAATCATTTGCTTCAGATGTGGCAGAACTGCTAGAATAGGTAATGAAGGAAATGCGTTGTTATTCCTCTTAGAAACAGAAGATGCATATGTAGATTTTATTAAAAAGAATCAAAAAGTAGATTTACAACAAATAGTTTTGGAACCATCCATAATTTCGTATGAGAACTGTTTAAAATGTATGAGAAATTTACAAAAACAAGATCGATTTTTTTTTGACAAGGCTAACAGAGCGTTTGCATCATACATCCAAGCATATAATAAACACGAGTGTAATTTAATATTAAGACTAAAAGATATTGATTTAGGAAAACTTGCAATGGGTTTTGGTTTATTGAAAATGCTTCGTATGCCAGAGCTTAAAGGAAAAGATACAACGAATTTTGTGGAAGAAGATATTGATATCAATTTACTTGCGTATTCAGATAAACAAAAAGAAAAGAGTCGTTTAGAAAAGTTGAAAATTTTCCAAAATACTGGAGTATGGCCTAAAACACAAAAACGTAAATCCAAGCAAACTGAACCTTGGTCTGAAACTAAGAAAAGAAAAATAGAAAAACAGGAAAATCGCAAAAGAAGAAAAGAAAAAAAATTAAAACAAAAAATGTCTACAGACATAACAAAAAAACAAAAAAGGAAAATAAATGAACAGGATATGGAAGATCTAGCCAAAGACATAGCGTTAATTAAAAAATTAAAGAAAAAAAAGGTATACTTTTAATATAATTTTTTTGGTGGAAATATTTAAAAAACAAATGTTCACGTATGTATAATTATTTCAGATATCTCAAGAAGAATTTGATATGGCTTTTGGAATTGATTAAAAAGTTTAATAGCAATGAATAATACATTTATTTGTATATGAATAAGATAAGCAATAGATAAGAAGGTAAACAGTACACTGAAGCAATGTTCAAATGATTGGTTTTGTTCAGATAAAAAAGCATATGATCTTATTTATAATCTTTCAAGTACTTGCGTTCACGTGGATTTTATTTATTATTTATCCAAATTATTCTTATTAAAATGATTATATTTCAATTTTTTTATAATTAAATATTTTTACAAAAATTAAAAAGAATAATTTAAACAACTAAATATAAATAAAAAATATTAATGTAAAAGATATATTTTAGTAAAATTGATTCCTTCATAATATGATAACATTCTGAGTATTGTAACGATGTATGCTATATAGTATATGTATCTGTGAAATCTTTTTGAAGAAAGATTTCAGTATGTGAGTGAGTCCCACTCTCACACTTATGTATCATGTTAGCATTGAGTATAGTAGAAGGGAAGAATGTAAGCATGAGGCATAGTGATGAGTCACGAGTTGTTTGTGCAAGTGTCAACTGAGTGTAAGAAATTTCAATTTCTATGATTTTGTGCTAGCAATTTTTGTAATAAATATTAAAATAAACAAATAAAGATGAATGATACAGACGTTAACGATCGTCCGAAATGGTTGTTAGAATTGGAAAATCGAAAAAGAAAGGTGAAAATTTAAGATGATTTTGAAGTACATTTAGAGAGTTTTTTTTTTTTAATTCTTTTGTAACATAATAATTTTTTTACACATATATATAATTAAAAACAATTCAATCATTAAATATACAATTAATAAAATTATATATAATTGTATAAAATTTTATTTGGATTTATCAGTTGTAGTGATTCAAAACTTAATTCTCTAAAAGTTGTTAACAAAATTAATTACCTTTTTATTTTTAAATTACTATATAATTATTTCATTTAGCCCCGATTGGCACATGAAGCTGGAGCAGGTGCACTTTGTGTTCTTTGTAAAGCTGCATGTCCAGGATTGGATTTACATTTTTGGAGAAAAATTTGTAAAAATTGTAAATGCAGCAAAGATGATCATGATGTTGATGATGATGATTTTCCGCAATTTGATTTGTTATTTGGGACTTCAAGAAAATATAAGAAAAAATCCATATGTAAATATTGGTATTATTAAAATAATATATATATATAAAATCTATAGTGCATACAATATTATATATGTTTCTGTTACATTTCTTTTAGTGTTACATATAAATAATGAAAAAGAACATGTAGGAGAAGCATTCGAATGGGTACCAGATACAACAAAAGAACTTGCTGCAGATTATATGAAAGCCTTACCTGTAGAAAAGTTACCTATTAAGGGATCAGCTGGAGCAGCTTTGAGAAGACAGTTATTACAAAAACAGCTTCCTCTTCATGACATAGATTATAAAACTTGTGATAAATTAAGTGATCAAGAGAAAAAACAATTTGAAAGGTATTTAGAAAATATAAAAAAATATGTGGGACAAGGAACAGTGACAAAAGTAAGTTATTATAAAAATTTAATAATTAATAATTATTGATTAAATCTTATATATAAATTTTATTTATTTATTAATATATTATATTCTTTTCTGTACTATAGATATTAAGTGCTCGTCCATTTGATGGATCACTGATAACACCTGTGAATGCGACTGATATGCAACATCTTAGTCCACAAAATAAACCTAATGTACCATCAAGTTTTGTTCATTTACGTACACCAAGTAGTTTTGCTCCAAAAGGTTCACCCAAGAAGAACTTATATGAAAATTTAAATATATGTAACTTCTCTACTCCTTTAGAAACAAGTAACAGTGGTAATATTGAAAATATTCCAGTTCTTGAAAAACATAATATAAACAGTGAAGATGATAAAATTATTAAAGGTAATAATCATAATATAACAAAAGACAACTTGAAGTATTTAAATGATGCAGCAGTCACAAATGTTAATTCTGAAACTGTATTATCTTGGAATCCATCAGAATGTCATAAGATAGCATACAAAGATGTGCTCAAAAATCCATCTACATCTCTGTTACATTCAAAACCAATAAATGACGATATTAATACCGTAGAAGCTTTGTTGGCAAATACTTTGCCATTACATAGTACAGTACATGCAAATGATATAGTAAGAAGTACATTGGATGAAAAGGGTTTAATGTATATACGCGAAAAACTCACAAATAAGTATAGTAATCAAGAAAATCAAGGACAGGCGTTATGCAGTGGTCCGAATTTCGCAAAAAGTTTAGATTCGAATAACTTACTATGTAAAAATACTGATTTTGGATTACAAAATGAAAATATTTCTACAAACGAAGGAGCTGATAAAACAGGCACTATTACTAATATAAAATACCCTGGAATATTTTCATCAAAGGATAAACTTCAAAAAATAAAACAGAATATTCGCGATTCTGGACTAATAAAAGCACAAGTGGAAACAACGAGGACTGATTCAAATTTAGTTAACTCTGATTCTTTGCATTCTACAGGACCCCTCAATGTAGAAAATTTAACAGAAAATAAGTTACAAAATCCTTCAAAATTAACGGAAAAGTTATTTCCTTTACCGGCATCATCGTCACAAACGTATTTACAGACCTCTGATATTAATAATTGTCAAGGAATAGTAAATAATTTTACAACACCTTCTACTATTATTCATTCTGAGAAATTGGAGAATCAAATTTTTCCTCATGAAACTAATCCTAAAATAAAACAATCGGAACAACATTTTCCAAATATGGAACATCTTAGGAGTATCACGGAAGAACTAACAATAGATTCTAAATCACAAAAATGTCAAAAATGCGAAGAAGGATTCCGTGTTGGTGATGTTGCTGTAATCACAGACAAAGCTAAAAATGCAGTATGGCATCCAGGATGTTTTACATGTAGTATGTGTAATGAATTATTAGCCGATTTAGTATATTTTTATTATAAAAATAAATTATACTGTGGTAGAGACTTAGCAACACTCCTAGGAATTCCTAGATGTTTTGCTTGTGATGAAGTAAGTACAGTATACTTAATAGAACCTTTACTGTTTCATAATAATAAATTTTATATTATTTTTCATCTTATATTTTCCAGCTTATTTTTGTACGAGAATACACTGTCGCAGAAGGACATAATTATCATGTAAAACACTTTTGTTGTTGGGACTGCGATATTCCATTAGCTGGAAAACAATATATCACAGAAAATGATTGTCCATTATGTCTCTTGTGTTATCAAAAAACATATGCAAAAACGTGTAATATGTGTGAGAAGGTAATTGCTGCTGATCAACAAGGCGTTGCTGTTAAGGACTTAAATTTTCATGCAACAGAAGCTTGCTTCCATTGTTATATTTGTAATAAAAATTTGTTAAATGGCAGATTTGCTGTTAAAGAGAAAAAAATATTTTGTAGCAAGGAATGCATTTCAAATTTTTTACATCCACAGATTAAATAGATTAAGAAATATTATTTATATTATACTATTTTTAACAATTTTGCATCATTTTTTTTAAATATGAATTATTTGCTATAAAATACAGGATATTATATAATTTTAATTTGTTGTATACGTTATTAGTATGAAATGTACATCATTAAAAAAAACAAACATTTTACACAAGCATGTGTATAAAAATATATTTTCACTAGATATTTAGTTCTTTAACAAATATTCGTTATATACTTACATTTATGTTACATTTTAAGCAATTATATCATTCATTATAAAAGATATCTTACTTCTTATCTTACTTATATTTTATTACTAATATTAAACATAATTTTTTTAGAATATGAGTTTTTCTAATGAATTATTCAAACTGTCGTCAAAAAAAGATATGTGCATTTAAAAACAAATTATGACTATATCAATAGAATTATATCTAAAAATTATTATATTACATACATATTATAGTCTTATACTTTATATAAAATTTAATTCAGAAATATTAATAAGTATCCATATAATTAAAATGCTCTAAACACTATATTTATTAAAAACTCCAAATGCTTTTATAAATTCCAAAGTAACAAAGTATTCTACCATTTGGATTTTCTATTCTGTATAATTCTCTAAAAAGTTGGTAGATCAATTTCAAATAAATATATTCAAAAGATATGAGATAATAATTTTTTACACACTAAGTTCAAAGGCAAATTTTCCAATATAAAATATATTTAGTTATAATAATTTTCATAATAATTAAATGTCTTTTTTACTTTAAAATAGTAGTGTTTAAAACATATTAAACAAAAATATTGTAATATTTTACTTTTGATGTTTAAACTCATTGATTAATAACTTTTTAAAAATGTAATTCTTTTTCTATAAAATAAATATAGTATACATATATACCTGCCACAAAAGGTAGATACATAAAAAATAATACACATAATATCAATGATTTAACTTGTTCAAATACTTGTTTAAAACTTTATGATGCTTCATTCTGAATCACTATCAACAACAGTTAAAACTCTTTTAAAGGTACTACGTGCTTCACGATATTTTGTAGGTGTCTCTGGTTGTTTTGACGAGTCTTTATTGGAATCTTTATTTCTCTGAGCACGTGTAACGCGTCCTGAAATTTTTTATTATGAAGATATTTATAATATATAATCTTTTATAGGTTTCATAAAGTTACAAACCTTCTGAAATAATATTGCTTGTATTTAACTCAGCAACATCTTTAAGACTTTCATTTCTTTCTCTGGCTTTTTTACATTTTTCTATAGATGGTCTGCCATTTATTCCATTTTTTGCTAATAACTCTTTAAGACATCTTACTTTTGCAGCATTTGATTTACAACCAGCCCAAAGATCATTGTATGATTTCACATGTATTCCAGCAAGTCTAATATATTTTTTTAATACTTGTATTTTCTTATCATTTTCAGTTCTCTAAAAGAAAATAGAAACATAATTTTAGAAAACATAAACATTGATGCAAAGAATGTTGGTATACTGGTAAACTTACATTACTTTTTTCATCTGTAGAATTATCTTCACTGTCACTTTCATTTTCACTTTTGCTTTTTACTGATTTTAAATCGGATATGTTTTCTTCTGACTTTAGGTCTTCTGTTATATTAGAATTTTCATCTTCGCCATCCATATCCTCAACTTGATTCTTCTTTCTTCCTCTGCCTCGTCCTTTTTTTGATTCTGTGACTGATTTTGTAGATTTTTTGTTTGCTACTGTCTTTTTGAGTTTCTTTTTAGTTTTTGGACTGTAATCTTCATCTGAAACATCATCATTCTCTTCAGAGTCAGTATTTTTTGTTTTGCTGAAAGAAGTCCTACTTCTTTTTTTCTCTTTCTTTGCAATTTGTTTAGGTTTAATTTCAGGTGTATCTTGTGAATCTGATTTGTCTGCCTCAGAGGAACTAACATCAAGTTCTGAATCATTAGGTTTTGCTTTGATAATTATAGTTTTTGATTTAAGTTTCTTATCTTTCCCACTTTCACTTTCAGAAGAACTTGAAGATTCTTTGTCACTTGCACATTCTACAGAAAGTTCCAAACCTTCTACTACTTCAGCATCTTCAATTTGGGACTTCTTGTCTTTCTTTTTTGACTTAACATTATCTGCTTCTGCCTCTTCTTTTTCTTCTTCTTTCGCTTCTGTCTTTCTTTCTATTGCATTTTCAACATTAAGATCAGATATAGATTCCATGCGTGTACTTCCCTACACCACAAGAAATAAATATAAAGCCATTAAAATAATATTTCAAATATTAATATGTATATTAATTAATGTTGCTTTTAAATTTATAAGTTACCTGTTGTTTTCCATCTGTTAAGATATTAGGCTCATCTTTCTTTTCCATTGCAACATCATTATTGATTGAAGTTTCATTGTTTTTAACGTCAGATACTTCAACACATAATTCTTTTGTACTTTCATCTGAAACTGACTTAACTTTATCCTTTTTATTATCAACATCTGTATCCTTTGTATTTTCTTTTATCTTTTTGGCAACACCATTTGCTTCCAAGTTGTTTTCAAATATTGTTTCATCAATAGATGTGCATAGTTTCTTTGAAGGTAAATCTGATTTTTCATCTTCTGAGGTCTCCTCTCGCAACCTTTTTTGTTTATGCTCATTTGTATCCATAGAATTGTCAGAATCTTCTAAAGGCATTTCGTCTCGAGTGTCTTTGTCACTTTGATCAGACTCAATCATTGTTTATAAGTTTATCTGAAACGAAAATACTTGGCATATAAATTGAATAAATTTAACGATATTAAGTACGTATGTGCAATAAAAAAAAGTATTTAGAAAAAAGTATTTAGAAAGGCATGTTGCATCGCATATATCAAAATACACACATTTAATAACTATCAACAGACTTGTTAAAAGTATTTTTGCGTGTTAATAAATTTTTCTTTTCTAGAACTTTTCAGTATAAGATATTTTCTGTCCTAGCGCGTAAATGTCGAAACAGAAAGTACAACTAAAATAAATGACATGTACAAAACACTTTACTTACAGCGTCAAAAATCGGCAAAATATATTTATACCAATTATTTGTAAGCGACGTAACGTTTGCGCGGCAAAATCTACGCGGTAACTACGTAATCGCTATTGATTGGTTAAATTATTGTGTACAATATAGTACTCCTGCGCTACAGCATGAACTTGGCTGTATGTCGAACAATATCGATACATAAATTGAGAAACGAAGATAAATAGAAAGGTTTTTTTCTCTTTTTTTTTTACACATTAATCTTTGAAGCGAAAGTAGTAAATATATCCACCAAGCTGAATTGTATTAGTTATGTTGTTTAGCATTTTAAATTACGTGATTAAATTTTCGAAAACCGTAATTCACTAACGACCAATAATCGAAGTTGTCTCGTAGATCGGAGATTGCTGAGCGCTTGATTTGATTCGTTCCGTACAAAACAATATGGAGTCGATCGTATGTTCTATAGTCTATGGCAGATCTATCCAATTGGTAGCTTGCTCCCCCCTCCCCCGCAATTTTCAATTTTTGATTATGCACGCCATACGTATAGTAGCCAATCACATGCGGTAGCCAACTCTGTTAAAGAAGAATGGATAGTGCTTGTGTAGTGTTTGGAAAAAGAGAAAGAGGAGGAATTGAGGTTAGGGTCTCCTAGCTCGCAAAGGAGTCGTAGAATTACGTAGTTTTGCAAAGTGTCAGTCAGCTGTGTATATAACATTTTTTGAAACTCTAGTATGTTGAGTTTGTTACACACACGCGTCGGCCGCCGTGCCAGACGCGTTTCCAGTAATGATGCTAATAATGCAGAACTTGGAGAAACCAAACATCTGACAGAAGCAGAAATGAACAAGTTGGGGGCAAAGATTGTCAAAGCTGAGATAATGGGCGATACTGTATGTTATGCATGTTGAATTTTTATATCATATAAACAAAATATACTAAACAATTGTAAAAATTCATGATGTTTTTTTCTGATAGAAACTTGCCAATGAATTAAAAATTCAATTGAAGAACGCTAGAGAAGCTGCAAAAAATGTTGAGACAAGCAATACAAGAGAAGTTCAAGATGTAATTCTTACACAAACAGATTCAAAAGGTATGTACATATTTTCAGTGTGTAATTTCAGAATTGAAAATGGATAATCAACAAAATGTCAATAACCTGTATTAGGTATTGCAAGACCATTGGAACCCAGAGTTCAAATTACAAAATCATTGCAAAATAAACGAAAAAATGCAGAGACATATGTTTCTGGTAAAAAAGTGAGACATTACCTTGACGATGATAAATACTCATTAGAAAATCTGGTGAGTTTATATTAGAATACAACTTCCATAATTAAGAAAATCAATTGATAACATTGAATATAATAGTAAATAATATATAGCCGATAACATTATTAATGTTTTCTCAGTTCCATAAGGAAAAAGGAAGGTCTACAAATGAAGATGATGCTGCATTTGTTAAGGCTGCTTCTAAGGTATGTCATAAAATTTATTTTGAGAAATATAGAGCAATAAACATGTAAAATAATTTCTAGAATGGAGACATGGATGAGATGTTCGAGCAACAGATTACAAATGTTAAACTGAATACTAAACAGAATGAGAGAGATCGTTCGCATGCTATTAAGGAACACAAACGTTTATCAAAATGTTTGGATGATTGTCACTGGTGTATTGATTCAAAATACATGCTAAAACATATGATCATTGCAATGGATTCTGATATTTGTTTAAGCTTACCTCATTACACATCTTTGACTTCCGGACATTGTATAATAACACCTACTCACCATGTTGCTTGTCAATTACAATTAGATGAAAATATTTCGGTGAAACTGAAGGTATAAACATTATTGTATTATCGCGCAATAATGTTTCTTTTTCTCTTACAATTATTTTATTTTTAGATGTTTAAAGAAGCTTTATATAAAATGTTTACGGATCAAAATCTCTATCCAGTATTCTATGAAATTTACAAGAGACGTCACAAATTTTCACACATGCAATTGGAATGTGTTCCACTAAAGAAAAAAGTTGGTGAATTAGCACCAATATATTTTAAGGTAAATATACACACATACATATATAATATGTAGAAAATAGAATTAATATCAATTCTTAATTGATATTTTTGACAGAAAGCCATTATGGAATGTGAAACAGAATGGTCAATGAATAAAAAGGTAATCAATCTTGAACATAAGGATGTGCGTAAAGCTATTCCAAACGGTCTATCATATTTTATGGTAGAATTTGAAAGAAACAAAGGATATGCTCATGTTATCGAGGATGAGAAAATGTTTCCTACAAATTTTGCACAGGTAATTTTTTTTCCATTATGAATAAATTATTATGTCGCAAAAAGATTATTTAATTTAAAACATTTTATTTATTGTAGGAAATTATAGGTGGAATGTTAGATCTAAATCGGGATATATGGCGAAAACCAAGAAAAGAAAACTTTGATCAACAACGTGAAAAAGTGTTAAAATTTTCAGAGATATGGAAAAAATATGAATCTGAAATTAATAAATCGTAATTAAACACGAATTTGTCTGTATAAATACAATTTTTGTAAATATATTATTTTGTTATAAAAATCTTAGTACAGATAGTTTTATCATTGTTTATTTATTTAAAATAAATATATGTATACACAAATGTTTAATATAACGTTTTATTGTAGTGTTTATGGCTAATAAAAACCTGCCACTGGTATTTTTGCACAATATTCTTTTAAAATAGATGGAAATAGTGATAAAACTTTAAAACGCGTTCCCATTTTATCTTCATCCATTATCATATGATATTCAGATTTTAACGATTTCTTTCTTTCCTCTGAAACATTTTTTAAAAGCATTTGCAATCTTACATCAATTCCAAGGTTTCGTAAAAAGTTTGACTGATTTATTGGTCCGAAAACAATCAGTCTATCATCTTTTTCTGCAATTTTTTTAATAGCAGCAAAGTCAACATCTGCTGTCAAATCTGCGGTTCCTGGGCGTAATAGTGGATCATGTATTTTATGTTGAAAAAATCCACGAAAAGTATCAGTTTTATCACCATTATGACCATAATCACAAATTAAGGTAAATCCACCGTGTTCCCATAAAAAATCTGCTATATAATCCACTATTACTAAAGTTTCTGGACTAATTTCAATATGCTCTCTCTTTTCATCAGCCTGCAAAATATACATGAAATGTACATTGAATCTGTTACCCATTTTTTTAAAAATAGAGTGTAAATAATATTACCGATATATATAAAGTAGCCGGTGTTGATGTATTTGACAACACGTAACGAAATTTTTCTTCGCTGCTTCCTTGGACTATGTCCACTAAAATTTCACACCAGCCTCTGTCAGTTTTCTAAAGATAGGATCATCATATTAATAAATTATTTATACACATCAGTTATGGTTAGCATACCTGAAATTTGTGAATCGGTAATGCATCAAAAAACTCGTGCATTAAAAATATACTGAAATTCTTAGGCACATCTTTAACAGAATAATACCAATATATTTTTACTTCATCTTCTGTAATACCTTCTTTGTAATAATTGACAGAATTATCTTTAAATTCATTCTTATTTGCATCATATTCTGTAATTGTTTTACACAAATTCTTTGCCTGAATCGAAGACAAAGTAGGACTGATTTCGACCAAATGTACCGTTACATTATTTAGAGATTTAAATTGTTTATACACCTAAGTAAGAAAGATAAATTTATGAAATAGATTTGTGAATTTTGATGTTCTAAATACTAAAAGCATACCCTTAATATATCTTTAATTAAAGTTCCTCTACCTGGACCTAATTCAACAATTTGGAAAGGACCCTTTGAAATTTTTTGTGATTCATATTTCATCCAAATACCTATCATCTATAAAAAGATAAATAATCAAAAGCAGATATAGCATTGTTACATTGTTTATTACGAGTTTTTCAAACAGGAAACTTGTGTATACCTCTCCAAATAACTGCGTGATTTCTGGCGATGTTATAAAATCACCTTGCTTGCCAAAAACATCTTTGTTCATGTAATATCCTACGGTTGGATGTGTTAAGACTTCTTTCATATAATCGGAAACCGTGATAGGCCCGCAGGCTAAAATTCTTGAGTACAAATGATGATAAAGACTTTGTGGTTTCTTGTCGTTCGAAGTTGAAAAACCACACGACGAATAAAACAGATAACGTTGCTGATAATTTGGTAACATTCTTGTATTAAGTAGTTTGCAACATTTTACATATTTTTCAAATATTTGAGGATTCTTACAAACTCCCATATTATCAACTTTTCAGTGTGCTCGAAGTAAACAAATTTACAGGTTACATTATCGTAGCGCATCATCAATTATGTTCACGAATAATTTTGATCTAAATTTCGAATGTAGTATTCTATTTAATAAAAAATTAAATATTATTCGAAGCGACTGTTTCGGTCTATTGGATCAGAATTTGTACATGCATTTTCAAAATGAAAATCATAAAAATTTATAAATCTCTTAATTAACTTCTTTGAAAATAAAGATTTTGATCAATTTCTTTAAGATCAATCTAAATAAATTAACCAGAGTTCAAATATATATATTGAATAACAAATTAATATGTATACTATATATATATATATATATATAGGTAATAGCTAAGGTATAGCTATATATATATATATATATATATATATATATATATATATATGAAGTTTATTTCTTTTTAATTGATAATCCTATAATAATTAGTGTAAAAACAACAAATATTATTTTATTTAACTTTTATGTACAATGTTTTCTGAAACGTGCGACTTCAAATTTTTGCCGCCATTCGTTTTCTTCCTTTTTTCTTTTTTATCGACATAGCCGCTCATCTGGTCGGTAAAGAAGGAATCACACGTTGTCATAAGAATGAGATACATGTTGTAGGACACGAAAATTCGGCACCGTATGTCGGATCTATTTTGTTGTTAGTCAATGCTGTTAACTTAAACTGATGGTAAATGCAGTAAATGAGTAGAGAAAATCAACAATGTGTCGATCTGTTACGGAAAATAAATGGACACGAAGATGAAATTTGAGAAATCGTTGCCACCGTTAGTTGAAGGCAAAATTCATGGTTATTTGAAGTTTGTCGTAGACGAAGTTATCTGGTCAAAGAAGAATTTCGATGAAATTAAAGTATTTGCATCTTGGTGGGGAGAAACTGATAGAACTGAATTTAGGTAAAGCTTTAATAATAATAATAATTTCAAAAGCGAAATGATTTTTTTTGTTCTCTCGATCTGAATATCTACTACTTTGTTTTGTGTGAACTCTTTCGTTTTGTATATTGTTGATTAAACAATGTTTCATTTTTCTTTACTTTTATGTCTCATTATGTGTATTTTGAACTATATGCCTTCTTTTCAGACTAGCAGATATTACAAAAGATGTTGCAGAACAGAAAACAACTGAAATTTATGCCATTCGTACAAATATAAATCTCTTTGAGGAATATATTAAGAATTGTCAATATATCGAATTATTGGTTGTTAGTAAAGAGACCAATACAATTATAGGAACATCGTGTGTCACAGATTTATTAGAGATTTTTAAATGTAACTCGTATTTTAGATATGTACCAATAGTAACTAATTTTGGAACTAAAATTGGAGAGATTCATGTTTCTATGAAGTTAGATTATATAACAAAATCTCTTAGTATGCAATTCAAGGGACATAAATGTGAAAGGGAACAGACCACTGATAATACAGTATATTCAACCAGCAAGAATTTTAAGAATCAGGATTATTTGTTAACTGATAAATGTACCATTGATGAACAAGTAAAACCTAAAGAAAATGATCCTTACAAATCTATTTTAAAATTGAAAAGGACAGAATTTCATGAACCTCTAAATAAACTTAGTAACGAAGTAACAGGGAGACTTGTTGCTCAGATTGTTACAAGAGCTCAAAGACTCAGAGGAAATTTATTTAAAGAAACATATGATGAAGATGAGTTAAATTTTACTGACAATTCTATAAATGATAGATTACGGACTGACGTGTGTGCTAAAAATGAAGAAAAATTTCATACATGTGTTTTGTGTGAAGATATAATGCCATCTAATGGAAATAAAACATGTACGTTGAAATCAACAACTTTGCATCCAAGTTTGACAAATCTTGTATCTAATAGTTTGAAAAACTATAGATATGATACTAAGAGTACAACAAATATGTCCTCTTCAAGAATGAATTCTTCAACAGGAGATACACTTTCAGAAAAAAGATTGTGTATCAATACGAAAGGTATTTATTAACTCTAAAAAAAATACCAGTGTGTTTTGAAACTTATTATACTAATCAAAGTTATGTTCTGTTGTAGATACATTTGATCTTGTTACTTACATTCGAATTAATGTGGAATCATTTACTTTAAGTCCTGCTGGTTATAGACGTGTGAAATCATCTTCATTATCACGTATGTATATTTATAATATTTAAAAATATTTAACATCTTCCTATAAACTAAATACATTCTTTTTTTATAGATAATGATAATATCTTTTTATCTGCAACATATTTTGCTCAATATGATATGATATTTCAGCACATTAAGGAAACTGAAAAAAAGGAAAGTAAATCTGTAAGAATAAGTTCCAAAAAACAAATAAATCAAGGTACATTTATGATATTAATATATGCAAAATTTTTAATGTACTTTTATATATATGTATATGTTTCATTATTATATGTATTATTACATATCTAATATATCTTTACAGTGATTTATTTTAATCATAACAATATGTATAGAATACCAAAACTGAAACATTATACAGCATTGCAAATAAAATTTAAGATATTTATTCGTCATGTAAATAAAAAATTATTAATTGAATTAGGCAATGCTATCATTCAGATTAATGATATAAGAACTAAAACTTGGAAATTTGCACAACATTTAATTATACTTAATAAAGAAATAAAAACAGGTGAATTAAATGTAATTATCGAATTAGGTTCAGATTTTGATCATTGTGAAAGACAGTATATTGGTAAGTATATATGAAGTAGGAAATGAACATTTATGTTGAGAATTTAAGTATTTTTTTTTTTTTAGATAATATGTCTATAAAGGAAAACATTCCTATTTTGGATACACCACAGTTACTTAATGAAACTAGAAATAAAAGAAGTAAAAATATTATGGAAAATCAGTCTAGAACAAGTAACGAAATACCAGTAATTTCAGACAGAGTAGAAAACTGTTCAACTATTGATAATAATTTAGTTACTACGAAAAGTATATCACAATTAGCGGAAAGTATAGATAATAAAGAAATGGATATAAAAAGTGATAAAAATAAAGTACAAGATAAGGTATCAAAATATGATGCATATTATAAATAATATATATTGATTATTTTTAATGACAAAATAATTATAGGTTTTACTTCATGGTTTAATATACATAATTGAAGGAAAGGAATTGTCAGAATTAAATACATATTTAGTATGTAGAGCATTTTGGAAAGAAGATAAGACTAAAAGTCAAGTCTGTAATGATACAAGAAATCCATTTTACCAATTTTGTCAAGTAAATATTTCTGTGTGTCTACATATATATATATATATATATATAATTTCATAATATATAGTTCTTGAATGTACATACAAAATTCTACATTTCAGTTAGTACCTCTTACTTATGACAGTGATTTATTGGAACGTATTAAAGACAATTACTTAATTATTGAAGTTTATTCTAAAAATAATAATACAGACAACTTATTGGGATTAACAAAATTATCTGTACATCAGTTGTATATTGCGTACAGGGATCCACGAGTATTGCCTTGTTTATTATTATCAAAGGTATGTTATTTTAAATTAATATAATTTTGTTGCTTAATTTTTATGACCATGTAATTTATTATTCTAGTATCCTGTGGTGAGTATAGATGGATGGGTACCAATTGTAGATCCTGTAAATGGTCGATCTTGTGGTCAGTTGCTTGCATTAGTAGCTCTTGGAACTGCTGAACAAATTATGTCATTAAAGATGTCAAGATACCTAGAAACTAGAAGTACTGCGTCACAGTTTTCTTACTACACAAATCATTCGCAAATTAGTCCTCGAATGCATACTACTAATAAAATTGAAAGAGAATCATATTTTTCAAATTCAAAAACTCAAGAATCTCAGACAGATATCTCAACTGTTAAAGAACTCAAGTTCAATGAAAAATCACAGGAAAAAGTTTTAAATTCAGAATGTTCTACTTTACAAAATACAGTTGACTTGACGCAAGTTTTAAATGTTAACAAGATTAATATAGATCAAGCAACACAAACTGAGATAAATTTGAAAGAAAAGCAACAATCTGATACAGAACAGATATGCTCAAATGAATTGAACTGTAACAGTTCTGATTACAGTGATAACAATAGCGTTAAACATAATCTTTATTTACCAATAGAAATGTACAGAAGCGTTGGAGTTGGTGCTGAGTACAATGAAGGAAATGAACAACTGACCAGCAATCACAGTAATACAACATTTGAATCATCAGCTATAAATCATGTAGAAAACGAATCAACGAATTCAACATATCAAAGTCAAACAATGTTTAGAGCTATTGTGGAGATTGAATGTGCATTGCATTTGCCAAAAATAGAGAAAATTAATGAAACCATTGATCCAAGTACATATGTATCATTTCAGGCTAGTAAATCTGATCATACAAAACATATAAATTCGTATATGATTACTAATGTATTTCCACATAGTTGCAACCCTAAATGGAACTGGAAATGTGATACTGAATTACCAACAGAACTGCTTTTACATGTAATTCTTTTGGTTTATCTATAAAATTTTTCTTTTTGTTAAACAATTTTAAATATTTATTTGTTTGTAGGATAAGAAGAGATTGATTTTAAAAATTTGGCGTATATTAGATACAAATATCAGCATGGAAATAAACTTAGAAAAAGATATTGTTATTGGATTTTCTGCTATTGATCTTTCTGTTTTAATTAGTGGCTTTCCAATGGTATCTGGTTGGTTTCATGTAATGGACTTCACTGGAAAATGCAATGGACAAATTAAAGTATTACTTATTCTATTATTCTAAATCTTATTATTGTTACTTCATTTATATGTTATTATTTTTTTGTTACTTTATTATTTATTTTCGTATTTATCAAATATCAATAATTTTAGGTATGCATAACACCATTAGATAATTTATCATTATTTAGTAAATTAATGACATCATTAAATACAACCCGACCAGCATATTCTATGTCACAATTAAATTGGGTTCCATTGCATGTTTATGAAGCACATTCTTATGATATAGAAAAAAATAAAACGAATAATACTTCATCAATAGTTATACAGGAAGAAGAGAAACCAGTAAATAATGAAAATCAATCAAATGATTCTGTCACTCATATTGATTTAGAAGATGTATCTATGTCATTTTTATCTTTATCTTTAAAGTAAGTAAATTTTATCGTATTTTAATAATTTACAATGAAATTTACATATGATATTTGTGTTTTTTACAGACAAAAATTGACTGAATTAGATGAAATTACAAAACGTCTAGAATCACGATTACGTGATGTTACAAATACGGCTTTTGAAGATGATTTGGAGAATGAATTTGAATTAAACGAATTAAGCAGTGATAATGAAAATAACGATTGTAAAATTATCACACCAATATTATCTATTGCCACAAAAGATCACAATAGCAAAATGTGTCATAATACAAATACCACAAAAAATGAAGACCTTAACGCATTAAATGAAACCAGCAACCAAAATTTTTTTCCTCAAACGTGTATTAGTTACAATAATGCAATTGGTTCTTCTAAAATATTGAATCCTTGTGGTAAGCAAAATTTATCAAATGACAATTCTGAAACGCAACAAAGTGAACATTTTGTGCAAAATAATAGAACATTGGACAATACTTTCTCTGACTACCCAGAACGAGGAACAAAAGCGCATATAAATTATTTACTTGACAAGCTATCTCTACAAATTCCTGCAGAATCTTGTTTGACAAAGACTATACCAATGGGAAAAAGTATTATTAATTTATTGACACATTTACCAGATAATAATAATTTACAAAACAGTAATAAATGTAATCAAGAACATAAAATATCTACATTACATACTCAAATGGACAAACAAATTAAACAAAATTTGGAAATTCCAGTAACAAGTTGTGCGACCAATATAGAAATTAATACATATGATAAAAGTTCATCCATGCATTCGCAAATTTCTAATAAAATGTCAAAAGTGATTCGTGAAGAATTAATTGCTGAAGAAAATAGCAGTACATCTAAATGTGATGAATTAACCACATATCTTGTAACTTCAAATGTTCGTCATATGGATTTGAATAATATTTGTAATCCATTTTTATATCAACATTTAGTGCCTGACTTACATCATTCACATACACCGTTTGAAGAAGAAACAATTAAACAATTAGATAATCGATATAGTAAAGTCTTTACTAAATCAATAAGTAACAGATTAAATAGAATACATAGTTCAATAGAAACTAATTTGTCTTTAGAAAATGCTGAACATTTTAGAACAACACCATCTGGAGTGTCGGAAAATATATTATCTGTGCTCCATAACACTAATTATAATGACGTGTTGGCAAGTAATAGTACAGAATCTACTACAACTATATCACTTGATAATTCAATGATAAAATCGATTGATTCAGAAATAGTTGAAAATAGTGATTCTATATCCTCTAAAACATCTGTTCTTGTATTTTCAAGACAAGCTCCTGATGGTGGTAACCCTATAGAAGATAATAAAAAACCATTGATTATACAACAGGAAGATGAAATTCTTCATTTATAATCAAGTGATTATAATTAATATGTAATAAATCCATTACTCTCATAATTATAATCATAAATTACACTTATAAGTATATATTTTAATTATATTAACAATTTTTTTTTTATCGTATACAGTAAATAGATATGAAAGTAAAGTTCTATATATATTTTAATAGATTTATTTAAACAAAGTAGGTACATTTCATACGTAGTTTATTATTTTACAATTTGTATATAATTTCTAATTATTAATTAATAATTTATATAATATTCAAATCTTGTTGACATATTAATATAGAGATAATATTGAGCATTAATCTCTTTATTAAAAAATAATATTTGTATAAAACGATTATACTTTATAATATAGAAGGATATATTATATATTTATTATCAATTTAATAAATATATTATTCAGAATATGTACTTTATAGAAATATACATAATTTAACTATTTTTGTATATTTTTTAAAAATTATTAATTCTAAAATATATGAAGTAAATATAAAAATTTTCTTTAATAAAAAAAATTGTTCATATTTATCCATAATATATATATTAAAATTAAATTTTACTTGTTTTGCTAGATTTTTAAAACAACAAATTTTATCTTATAAAGTATGTAGCATAAATTAATTTATTCATTGAAGTAAGTAGAAAGATAAGTTTCCTTGCGTATCCATTGTACAGCTCCTTTAGGATGCATCAACCATATTTTTGCAGTTGTAGTGTCATGTTGATGCATAATTGAACAGTCCCGTATTTTCTAAAATAAATATGAATAAGTATGAAGTTTATGCTCATTTATGTACATATTTGAAATAAAATTTTACCTGGAATTTTTCTAATTTTCTTCTATTGGAACTTGTTTCTTTTTCATATTTTTTACTCATGCACGATCTACATAAAAATATTTCGTTTTGTAAATGCCAATAATCGCCAATTGGTTTCTTCCCGCATATTTTGCAAATATCTGTGTTGCGACTACAACATTTAAGATTCACTCCAAGTTTCATTTTCACTCTACCGCCAAAACTATGTTCTAACATAGGTTCCTTTCTTTTAATGCTAATATACATTCCTGGACTGGATGTGTATTAAATATTATTCTATGCACACGCGATAAATAATTCTTATAACCATTCCAATTATACTATTATCATACCCTGGAATTGTATTGCTAATAAATGTTTGTCTTTTACTGTTCGAATCAAATGGATACTTTGATTTGTGTATTATCTTAGGAAACGTGGAAACATTGTAATGTAATGGTGATTGGTAATGATCTCTGAGTTCCTTTTTTCTAGCAAATCTGGCAATGCCACTGTAACCTTTTTTACTGATGCTATGAGGACAAGGCTAAAATAAAGTGCAGTACAACAGATATTGTACTTGCTTTAAAATATTTTGAGTCTCCAAATTATTAATCAGCATTGTATATCTTAAACAATTGATTATACCTTAGTTATAATTGATTTAAATGATTTCAAAACGTCGTACGAATTGGGTGCTACATTTGGATGATCTTCTAATGTATAATATCTCATAAATGGGCTCATATTCTTTTTTGAAGTGTCACGGGCACATCCTGATCCAAAACATATTTTTTGCTTTTCCTGTTTTTGTATAACATATTTAAATTCTGTTGGGTAGACAATATCATTTTAGTAGAAAGTGTTTTAAGGTCACTTATCAACAACTATGTTAATGTGCTTATATAGGACATATTTTCAATTATGAGAAAAGTATAATAAAATATTTATACCTTCCTGAGTAATTGTCATTATCGTAAAAAATATAGAATGTATTTAGTGGTAAATGTTATAAATTCCAAATTTGTGTATATTTGTAAAATCAATGATCATAACAGGATATATATATATATGCGCGCGCGCGCGCGCGTGTATATTATACGTGTATATTAGCCAAAAATATTTTGTCAAATATCCCTAACACTTTTTAATATTTTATGTACATATGTAATATTGTGTTATCATTCCATTGATATTTTACGCATTTGCTAATTGATTAATTTGTATCATAAAAATAGTTACTGTGAATTATAAGATATAAGATTAATATAAATTATTGCATCATTGAACAATACATTTAATATATGCTTGTAACATTGTTTATTAAGTCATATTTGTAATCTTTATTAGCACATTGTACATAAAAGCAAAAATTAATGTATTTGAAATAAATATATAAAATTACGCTTTATTAATAAACTATAAATAATGTTCCAAATTATACAGCGTATTATAATTCAGATTCTACTTATATACGTACGCACAATTTTATATTTACAAATCACGTGAATGAGAAGCGACCAATCACCACGCTGTTATTTACATTTTACACAATTGTACGAAATTAGAATAGAGGGCTTTATCTTTCTTGCCTGTATTTTTTCTATATAACACGCGGAACGTTATCTTCTCATCTGATATTTTAACAAACGTTCAATACCAATTCATCCATTTTAATCGATTTATCCACTTCTGATTTATATGCCACGCGTATTTACAAACACATTATCGGACCTGTTTTACAATTATTAAAATCTGGTATTTTTCAGCGCCCTCATGTAAGCACGCATGCTTACGTTACGCTCTGCAGATATAACTCACGCTATTCGAGTCAAATTCACAACTTTCGTAAAAGAAAATATCATTGCTCAATGTTTGGGCTCGCGTTAATTATTTTGAATTCGAATGAATGAATATATCATATAGTTAGGGATGGAAAATGTTTGCCCAAGTAAAAAGGAAACAGGAGAAAAGTTTTAAGAACAGGAAGCGTTACAGATGTTTAGTCGAACAACAGAGTGTGGTAGTCTTAGCAGGTCGATGGTGCTGTTCGTACCGACGGTTCGTTTGCAGCCGTCTTTGCTTCGCGATGCGTCCACTGATGTGTGTTTCTGCACATGGCCGTGCCGCCCAACGGGCTTCTGCATTGTTCCACGGTTTTTCGCACTCTAACACCGGTAAATGGACTTATTGTAGTTAGATTTCCTATGCCAATGGTTGAAAAACACGTGTTCTGTGCCTTGAATTATACAAAAATACATTTTCGTGTCGTTAACCATAATTAATGAGCCAAAAAGTGAGTCCTGGGGTAATATCGCATCAGTGTTTAGTTCACGTTTTAGAATTAGCATTAGCTGCTACGAGATTCTCAAGGTTCTCGTTGTTTTTTTGTAAAAGCGTAATCGATTACGCACAATTTTACATCGTCAGAGAGGATACTATTGGCAAGAATTTTTTTTTCACTTAAGTCAACACGTTAATAATGTGCTATTCAAGGACGTGCAGCGACAAATAAATCGTAATTCCTATATATTGATACGTTTTATTATAAAATTTTCACATTTCGCATTTCAGATACGTTGTTTCACACGGGAATTTACAAAAGACAGATGAAATTATAGTTGAAAATTCAACGCTTCTAATTGTTTACCAACGTGAAGTTCTACTGTTGTAACCATTGATAAATCTCTCGGTTCCTCGAAAAAATAATTCTTTCACAAATACATGTTTTCATTTGTCGCGACAACATTTAGATTAAATTTTTTTTTTTTTTTTTGAATAATCATGCATCATACATGGTTGTTTCTTTCTGTATTTTTATACAATTTACGTATTATAATTTCTTACAGTGTATGTGTTATTGATTGCTTGTGGTAGCAACGGGCCCTTTAAATTGGGTCCCTTAAATAAATAATATTTGTTAAAAATTGAACATTTTGTAAAAGAAAATCTATGTTTTATGACACTGCTGGTCAAAGGTTCCATCGAAATGAAAACCTATAGAAATAAAATTATCTTAAATATAGAACAAGATTTTCAAGTGTGTTCATTTGTATGGAATACTTAAGAGTATCAAAATATATTTATTCTGACAGTGTTACATATGAAATATACTTATTTTTAAATATACTTTTTAGGATTATATTTATCATTTTTAGAAGAATTATACTATATATTACATCCATCATGACTACATCATCGGAAGATGTTCTAATGCAAGTAGGACAAGTTCGTTATAAAAAGGGAGATGGTACTTTATATGTCATGAATGAAAGAATAGCCTGGATGCTTGATAACAGAGACACTGTATCAGTCAGTCATAAATATGCTGACATTAAGTGTAAGAACATTCGTGTAATGATCAAAATATTCAATAAAAAGATTATTAAAGAAAACTCACTTTGCTATAAATTTATTGCATTTTTTTTACTTTCAATACAATAGTAATTTAATTGCTTATATCTATTTTTTTTATGTTAAATTGTATTAAATGCATATTTACAGTTTGATTTTCATTTAAAAGAGCTATAAAGTTAAAAAATTATTAAAATAAAACATTATATTTATTAATGTTAGGTATTCTAAAAATTAATATGTTACACTATACTTTTCTTTGTAGTACAAAAGATATCACCAGAAGGAAAATCAAAAATACAGTTGCAAGTTGTACTGCACGATGGTTCATCATCTATATTTCATTTTGTAAACAGAAATGGGCAAGAGGCACAAATTAAAGATCGTGATGATGTAAAAGAATTACTTCAACAATTATTACCAAAATTTAAAAGAAAAGTAAATAAAGAATTGGAAGAAAAAAATAGGTAAGATACTTTATATCATATTGACCCTTTTATATCAATCATACATTAAAATGTAGTATTATTTAACAGAATGCTTCAAGAAAATCCTGTGCTGCTTCAGTTATACAGAGATTTGGTTATCACCCAAGTTATTTCATCTGAAGAATTTTGGTCACAGCACGCCGCAGAATATACCCAAGCTAAGAAAAGTCAAAGACAAGAAATAGGAGTAAATAGTGCTTTTTTGGTAAGAATTTTTTTATTGTTGAAATATAAATTAAATGATCAGAAAAAAATTAATTAATAATTCAATATATTATTTGTAGGCTGATATAAAACCACAAACCGATGGTTGTAATGGTTTGAAGTATAATTTAACTGTTGATATTATAGAATGTATATTTAAAACTTATCCAGCGGTAAAAAGAAAACATCAAGAGAATGTGCCTCATAAAATGTCAGAGTCAGATTTTTGGACAAAGTTCTTTCAGTCACATTATTTTCATCGAGATCGTATCAATGCAGGGACCAAGGATCTTTTTACCGAATGTGCCAAAATAGATGATCAAGAACTTAAGAAAGATATTCAGTCGGGTATTGATGATCCATTGGTGGATATAACTTCTTTTGAAGATCAAACCCTAGATGAAAATTATGGGAATGGACCCACTAAATCTGATAAAATTTCGGGAAATATTGTACATCAAAGTATGATTAAGAGATTTAATCAGCACAGTATCATGGTTTTAAAAGCTAGTACTGTCAAGCAATCTACACAGTCCATTCAACCACAATTAAATGGATCAACGCCATCAGCGAGTAAAACTGCAACATTGTCTAATCAGTTAGATGAACGACCAAAGATTAAAAAGGTAAATTTGTAATATATAAGGCAGATTGCATTTATATATATATACATTGCATCCAATAACAATATGCGTGTCCTTTATTTTCAGCTTAGAATACAAGAAAAATTAATTTATGATGATCTCGATGCCACTTATGATACAAATTCAAATAGTAGTGCGCCGTTAAATTTGAATCATGTAGACAGGTACTTACATGGTCCAGTGCCAGGATATAGTAATACGGAACCAACATCTGAAGAACTCCTTATAACATTAAATCAATTAAAAAAAGAAGCAAGTGGTTGGCTAACGGGAAATAGTATACCAAGACAATTAGCAACATCATTAGTTAGTCCGGCTGCAGCAGTTTCGGCTCTAGGAGAATTAACTCCAGGTGGCTCTTTAATGAAAGGTTTCAGAGAGGAAAGTCTTGGACGTAAGTGTATACCATTAGCTGTAAATTAATTTAATTAAAATGTATAATATGTTATTCACGTCAATTACAGAATTAATACCAAAGGATTTAGAAAAAGAACTACGTAATGTATATGTGTGTACATGTGAACTTTTAAGGCATTTTTGGAGAAGTTTCCCACCTACAACTCCACAGCTTGAAGAAAAAGCTATTAGAATGCACGAGGCGTTACATAGATTTCATTCTGCCAAACTTAAACCTTTTGAAGTAAGTCTTACAAAATTCTACAAATTTTGTACACTTATTGACTTATATTATTTTTTTACCCTTCAAATGTTTACTTTTGTAGGATCGTGTTCAACGAGATTTTTCTGCTGTTAGTCAACATTTGACAAGTCATTTAAATCAATTATTAAATACAGCATATAGAAAATTCGCAGTTTGGCAACAACGTAAAATGCAAATGAGGTAGCCATTGAATAATTTGTCGTACAATTAAAAACAATGTGAATAAAGCAGAGCAATATTGATCATCCTATATTGCATTTTATAATGTTACCGTAATTAGGAATTAATATGGGTGTATTTCACAAAAAAACCAAAGCTGAATCGTGTCATGCATCCTGTGCTGCCACATATTTATTCTCACATAATCGTGTTTATTGTTCCAGAATTTTCATAAATACGTTACTTTAAATTTATTTGTAAAAGATATTTCACTTCATTAATATTTTCATATTGTAGTATACAGTTTTTATTTATTTTCTTCTTTTTCTTTCATAGATTATTATACATCATGTTGCACATATTATATTAATCAATCGTTGATATCGTGATGAAACTAAATCTATTGTGAGAAGAAAAAAAATTTCAAGATTTTAAACTCACTAAAAAGAAAAAAAATATTACATGTAGAGTAAAGTTAATATTTATAAATTTTCGAAAAAAAAAACTATGATCGCGTATGGAATGTCTAAAATTTATAAAATATAACTACGTAGATGAATGTTAAGAGAAACGTCTATTGTACGATATCAAAGTAGCTGTGATATCGCCACTGTATTATTAAAGTTTATTAAGAGATCAGTTTCATCGTTTTGAATGTTCGTTTTTTAAATTGCAAATATTTTCTATTCACGTTGAAGAATTTAAAACATTGATCGTTTCCCTTAATACGTTATAATTCTAAAAGACAGATATTGTTTTACACAATGCCTGACAAAACAAATCTTTTTTTTTTTATTCAGAAACTGGCAAATTAATGCACACAGTGGCACCAGTATACTTTTTACGATATCTGCAATATACTCAACTAAGTGTCTTAATTGTTAAATCCTATTTTTTTTTCTTTTTTTTTTTACATTATTGGATAAAGCAATTCTCGCAACATGAGATTTCGTAAACTGCCTACTCACTTTCTCAATAGTAGCAATAATTTGGCAGTTACTAATGTGAGTGATATCTGATTCAATCAGTAAAAAAAAAGTTTTTGAGATCATACTCGAAAGTTATGTTACGAACACTATTATAATACCGATTGTAAATATATTCTTACATTATCATTACAATAAATGTTATTATTATGAATATTAGCATTTGGTCAATAACGTCATCTGTTAAGCCACAAGTTGCTTTTGCCATTGAAATCAAGCTAAAATTATTTTGCGATAAATTATTTATCGACAGAGATGTTTTTTTTCTTTTAAACTTTTTAAAATCTTATTTTGGTACATAATGGGGTAAAAGAAAAATGTCAACAAGTCTCTGTGCCAGTGTCAGAAAGTGAAAAATTGTAAGATTTAAACTATTTAAAGCTTATAAGATTTTAAATTGCTTTTAAAAAAATTGAGAATTGCTCATGAGAAATTAAATTGCTTGTAAGTAAGCAGATTACCAGACAAAGCATAGATCAACTAGAAATATATTCTGGCTCTCTTGAAAAGTCCCGCCTGTTGATTTTTCTCTCTAATCCGCGGTCGATAGATGGCGCAGTTTATTGTTGATTCCGTTCAAAATGGCAGCCTGTAATGGGCACTGCGGGGTAATATTGTTCAATTCCCCACGATAAATAAGCCCATGTAAAGTTAACTGGCCGCGGTGCATATGCGAGTACTAAGTCTAGGGTGCATCCGGAATGTACACTTTTCCTCGAATGGTTGAATCATGTGAGCGCAATCATAGTGCCAGCCGATCGTGTGTCGTGCATTGGCCAAGTTTGTGTAGCCATATTTATTGTGTTATTCGGCAAGACATTATATCTTGCACACCGGCAAATGTAATTAATAGCCAAGACATATGACTGTTTGTTATTGAAGGTAAAGCCGTTGTTTTCAGCATTTGCCTTCGGCAAAGAATGTGGCGATTTTGTTATCACAAATGGAATGCGGCTGCATATGTATAAAACATTTAAGGACTTTAGTACAATAGGATATGAAAAGACGCTACATTGAGTTCTCTCTGGTTCTTCAAAAGCGGCGCACATTTTTTGTTAGTTTCTTTCTATACCGCTATTCCTATGATTTCTATACGGTGAAGCTCGTGCAATATATTAAACTTCATGTCTGATTCTCTTGTTATCCTTGGTAACATACATTGTGCTGTGCAATAAGAATTTTAAAAAGTGAGTATTTTTCTTTTCTTTTCTTTTCTTTTTATTAAAAATATCATTGTGTATCATCTCGGTTTTAACGGGCAAACTTATGCATTTATTCTTGATCGCAAAAGTGGACATTGTAATGAAAAATTTGACTACATGTCCATTGTTGTGATGTATCATTTGACAGTAAAATAGTGTACTATATGATTGTATATATTAACTGCTTTTAAAAGTATTTCTCGCAAAATCTTTATCGCATTAATAATATTTTTGTAAACTTCATTCTTCTTTTCACAAAATCCAATTGTATCAATTACAAAAGCTTATTGCTAATTATAATGTATTATCATATTAGTATTGTAATCCAAAAAAATTAAATGTTCAAAATTATATAATATGAATATATGCAAAATGTTTGTAATTTATGCTATATAATATTTATTGTATTATATTTCATCAGGTTGTGTTTAAAAATTATATATTTTTTTTTTCAGAAAAAGATGGAGGAACTTATATTATATCATATTGTCAATCTTAATTATTGGATGAAGGTTTATAAACCATATATACAGTGAAAAAATTTTTGGTGGCTTTTTCTATCTATTTACAAGAAATGGATGTACAAAAGTTTTGACAGAAAGTTGTGTTATGAATATCGAAAGCTTTATGTATAACATTTGTACATACAAAAGCCTGCTATACGTGGATCAAGCAGGCTAGGCACTCTTGTGCCAAGCTTGGGTAATGGATCCCGTTCGTCCATGGTATGCATCGTATAATCGTCTCGCTGCAAGTAATGCTACCAGTACGTTTCAAGCAAATTCAAGCACAAACAGTGATTTTGTACCTCATCACTTAGCAGCAACTGCTACTCAAGCTGTTCCTTCAACAACAACGTCACAATTACTTTTACAAGCAGCTCATACAACTGCAACTCTGGCGGGACAGCCTTCTCCATTTAACCCAGGGGGATTTTTGTCTCCACCCCCTGTGGGATATGATGTCTTCACACCTTTATTTCATCATACTAATCCAAAACAAGCACATTATGTTACTCAACATAGACAAGCTCTTGCTCAAGCACAAGTGTCAGTAACGAAACAAAATACTACAACAGAATCTGATATTCCTGTGTTAAGAGAAAATTATAGTTCAGCACATCAACCAACATTTTTTGAACATCAGGGTGCAGCAACATCACCTACAACATCTACATTGGCTTGGACTCATCAGAACAACGCACAATTACCTAGTCCATTTGGTATTTTGCCTCATGAAAGTGTTGTTCCTTCATCTCCAGGACCATCTACCACGAAACCTAGTGGTGTTTATGAAAATACGTTCAATTCTCAGTTTGCTACAACACAAACTATAAACAATCTAAATTCTCAATTGTCTACATCTTCTGTTTCTGCTGCAGAGTTTAAATCATCCAATTTTCCAGATAATAAGAAAACAGTAAATGTAAGGCCTCAATCACCAGCAGTAAGTGTGAAATCTGTAGTTTCTACATCACAAACAAACAACAATCAAAATTTTTTTCAATCAGTACCTACTACATTTAATTCTGAAACATTAGCAAATAATTATTCTACTGGCAATGGAAGTCAAACTTCAAATGGGAAAGTACAACCTATCCTTCAACATCAACAATCCTGCATTGTTTCAACTACAAATAATACAACCAATAAAGAGTACAGGATTCCTCAACCACCTTCTAGGTCAATTGCAACAACTATATTTTTAAATACATCTGTCAGATCTGTGTCTTCGCAAGTACAAGATAAACAGTCTACACGAAATTTTGCTTCACCTCCAAATAAAGCAACTTCTTCATCTCAACAAAATATTCAAACTAAAGCACAGACAAAAATATATCCAGAATTAAGTACACACAGTAGTGAACATAGACGAAACGAACAAACCTCTCATGATAATACTCAATCATCTCCTATCAGCTTTTCTATTATGGATTCACGTGGTTTGAACTATACTGCTGGAAATAACACAAATTGTACAAACACCAGTGGAAAACTTAATAATAATAATCAAAGAACTCAATCAAACAGTAATTTACAGACTCATTCTCAACAATCACAACAGCAACAACAGCAATTTCATGTTTTAACTCAACAACAGCAGCAGCAGCAACAACAACAACAGACATCATACAGACATTATATAACAGGATCTACTACTGAGTCTGAATATCATCATTCAGGAAGAGCAAAATCTGCAACTTCTACTGATTCTACTTATTCTTCTAACAATGCAACACAAAATGGACCTGACTGTAGCGTTGTTGTGCCAAGAAGACCAAGTCCATTGCAAGCACATTCACAAGCAAGTCCATTAGGACATGTTCCAAGCCCTGCTTATCCTATGTATAATAGTCCAATGGCTACCATCTCTTCTCCTTCACCTTTACAACAACATACAGAAAGTGGAAATCAATGTGCAAGTGGACCATCATACAAAGGAAGTGTTCAACAACAAGTCACACCACCATCACCATTAGATGTTACTGTACCACGACCTGCGTCGCAAGGTCAGGTTGTTTATTCATCTGTTATTACAAGGGCCTTAGGTACTGCTGAAAATAAAACCAATTACAGTGACAGTAAAAATTATGATAGACAGCAACAAGATTTTTCACAAACCCAGAAACAAGTTTGCTGGGAAAATGATAATCGGCAACCAAACAATAATAGAAAATTTTCCGTTACTCTATATACTGGAGGAAATTCCGAAGTAAACCCTCAAACATTGCCAGTTCAACAAGTACAACGAGTCGTAAATGTTTCTGATAGACAACAATCATATTTTGATTCCAATCAAGTGACTCTACAAGATTTAAGTAGCTGTAGAGGAGATCCCATGAGTATAGTAAAGAATTTGCAGACGTTACAAGGTTCTTGTCAAGTACAACAGCAACAAACTACTGTGTCTGTTACTCCAACAGAACAACAAAAACAAGTGGAAGAACGACGGAAAGTAGATACGACAAACAAAAAAAGAAGAAATTTAGAAAAAGTTGGACATAATTCTTTAAATGAAATGACTGGAACAACAACAATGACAGAATACTTAAGTAGGATACCACCACCTGCACATCATAATACAAATCAACAACAACAGAATGGTTATTTTGACTTTGAAAGATGGAATTTACCTCCACCCCCTGCTAAAATGTTTCCTGGTGCGTCGGGTGCTTTCAGTTCACAATCAACTTTACATCATTCAAATAATTTTGTTGGCACTCCAGCGCATCAACATCAATCGCTGATGGTGTCCCATCATCATGCCCCGCCTCCTATTCCATATTTCCCTGCTTTTCATATTCCACCAAGCCATCATCATTCACACGAATTTCAATCTTCTGTTGAGATTACTCCTATTGGTTTTGCTGAAAATGCAGCAAACCAAAATGCTAATTTTAATCAAGATATCAGAGATGATCAACCTAAAGTAATTGTTCCTAACATCGAAGAAGAGCTAGGTTTTTTACAACAAAATCAGCAACCAGTACAAAATGTGAACATTTTAAATAAAGATTTTAAACGATCAAATAAAGACCCTAATTCAGGATTTATGACAAGTTATTTGAAATTTTTACAAGGTGAAAGAGAACCTTCACCTCCGCCTGCAATACGTGGTGGTAGAAAAGCAACTTGGAGTAGGTCAAAGCCTTATATTCCTATAGAACCTAATAAGTCGATAGAAAATTCGACAAATGGAGAAGCAGTGAAAACACAGTTAGAGAAACCACCTCCACCTAAAGAAACACCAGTAATTGATTATACTAACGATCCACGATATTTTCCGTTACCTAAAGAGCGAAAGAAACAAAATTTTGATTCAAGCGATGATGGCTTTACTAGCGATGACGATTTTCTATTTCCTCCTAAAAAGTCAGATAAGAAAGTAACAAATATGAATACTTCCAATATAACAGAAGTAACAACTATGAAATCGGAAGGTAAATCTAAGAAAGGGAGACCAATTAAGCCTGGAGGACCAACAGATAGAAAAAGAAGAGCTGCAGCAGCAGCTGCTGCAGCAGAGGCAACTATCAGTACATCTAGTAAAGCTTCTAAAAAACATGAAGAAGGTAATATACATATTTCTTTTGGATTATATATGTATATATAATATATTTAATATAATTAATGTATCATTATTATTATATTATTATACAATATAAAAATAATATATATGTATATATTTTTATAGTAGATCCTTTACTTTTACCTCCGAGGCGTGAAACGTCTAGAAGAAAAGCAAAAGAGAAGACCTCGGTAAAACAATTTTTGGATCGACAACAGGGTATAGATTATTTTGATAATGATGAAGAACAGGGAGATTCTGATTCTGATCCTGCTTGGACACCAGCTGTAAAATTGGTTGGAGATGAAGAAGAGAAAAAGAAAAAACGTGGGAGACCTGTCATTACTAAAAAAAGTAGAAAAGTTTTGGAAGAAGATGAATACTCTCCTGATTTTGTTATTTCAAAGAAATCAAGTAGGAAAAAACACGAAACACCATCAAAAACTTCTAATGTTACTGGAAAGCTATCTTGTAAGATAGATGAAAAACTTTTGGCATCTATCAGTGATGAAGATATTGATATCTCACCATTTAAGGTATGTAATAAGTTTATTACTAATTTCAATTCATATATACAAAATAATACATAGATTATAAATATTCTACTCCATCTGAATAGAAAATTATAATTTTGAAAAAAAGAAATTGTAAATCTATAGGAATTACTGTGTAATTGTTATTTACATTTTTTGTTCATTTCCTTACTTACATCTTTAATTTATTTATTTTTATATAAGAAATAAAAAATATCGTATATAAATATAATATATATATATATATATATTACTATAATTTATATATACTATAAATTGTATTTGTAATTTACTTTTATATTGCATGCAGCATTCCGAGGATGAATTAGATGATGTGGTAATTTCTTATATGATTTTATAAAATAATATCAGTGAATTTTAATAAAATGTGTTAATAATATATTTTTCAGTCGGGAGAATTTGTTGTAATCAAGACAGATTTAGATGAAGAATATCCTCCACTTTGGAGAATAGATGGCAAAACATTACTGCAAAAATATGAGCCATTTAAATCTAATGGCAAGACTTTATATAGAAACATATCTACGGTAATGCATAATAAACTTTTGGAGAAAATTTGCTTTTTTTCTGTTTTAATGTATACGTACGTATGTTTTAGTACTCGGGTTGGGCACCGCAAAATCGACATATATATCAACAAGTTCCAGTAAAGTTTTGGCAACAAAGCAAAACAGAAACTATAGTAGAGTTTCTAAGAGATGAAATGATTATTGATGATAAGTAAGTTTTATTTCATTAATATTTGAAATGATTCACATAATCAAAAAAATTATCATATGGTATTTTTTTTTTAGCGAATGTATTGACAAATCTATGAAAGATACTGAAAAATATCAAGATAATTTTGAAGTGTATATTCAAACATTGATTTCGCAAGCTTTAGATTCTAATTTTCTTACAGAAATATTTCAAGAACAAGGTATAATTTCTATTCAATATTAAAATAGTTTTGTTATGTACAGTTTTACATCTATAGTTTTTATTACAGATGATTATTTCTTATCGAACGTTAAGACTGTTGATGAAGTAACAGAAGAAAGAAAACAACGGCTTCTGTCTACAACGAAATGGCGGTCAAATGTTATAAATGCAATATCAACCTGGCCATGTCTTAACGTTCTGAAAGATTTACCATTTATGGAATATAAAGGAAAGTCATGTGCTGGTTGTCAGCAGCCTAAAATTCACGCCAGAGTTCTATTATATGGTCAACCATATAATGCAACTACATTGGAAGGTTCTCCTCCTGATCCAAGGATACCTCAAGAAAAGGTACTTAAATAATTTTTTAGCTCATTGCAGTAATTCATCGATCGTTCAACTTTTAGGATTTTTTATTATGTCGAGTATGTCAAGCAAAAATAGCCCTATACAATAAAGTGGCACATCAAAAGTATTTGATGTTCTTGGAATGTGCAAGAAGAGTAGCAGATAAGAGAGTAGCAGATCCTCATAAAGATACCACAATAATATTGAACGAATTATTAGCAGATGAAACATGGTTAAATCAAGTAATAAATGCTTTTTGAAAAATTTTAATGATTTAAAAATCCAAAAAATTAATTACAATAATTTAAAAAATATGAATTTTTTCAGTTATTTAAAGAAGTTAGAACAATCTGGGCAGAAATAGATAATTTAGAACATCAAGCAAAAATGAAATCTAGTTCAAAATCATCAACATTATCTTCTACGGCAAATAGTGCAGAGGAAGTGAATGAAAATGTTTCAATAACACAGCCAACTGAAATGATTGCTAATATTTCGGATTCACAGGTGCCTACACATAAAATCGAGGAGAGTTCTGAAACAGTGTCTTGCGACGTGCAGATGAGCAGTATACCATCTTAGTGGTGCTATATTAATCGAAATTGGTTCTGTTTCATAGAGTACGTAAAGATCATCAAACATTTAGTGGTATATTGATTTAATGGATATGATGTTAATACCAGTCTTGAGACCAAACAATTAAATATTGTATTTTGAGGATGCTAAATTTAAATTGAGTTAATACAATACGTTGTGACAAAGGGTGAAGTTAAATAATAATGTGTAATCAAGAAATTGTAGTTATAGTGATAAGTAGTGAACGGTGAGGTAAGTAAAAAGGTGATTTATATATAAATATCAGGCATATGTAAAATATTCATCCTCGCGTAAAAATTAGAAGTGAGCCCAAACTTTGCCATTGTAATAGCATGATAATAGAGATTTACGAATGTTTGTGTGCATAGACATTTAGTTCTAGCATTTGTATCGTGATAATTTTGTATAATATCGAGGTCTGATACGTTAAGATCTGAAAAAGAAAGACGAAAGACAAATGATTTTAAAATATAAAGCGTTAAGGCATATAAAACACCTCATGACCTTCTGTAATATATTTACATACATCACACTCTCTTTATCCTTGAAGGTCTATTTACTGCGAAGTGCAGAAAACTGTTATACCTGTTTGTTCCTCTAATTGTAACTTCTAAATTCATTGTGCATTTTCTTTATAAAGTAGCATACATCTATTCTTTTATAATGATTTAACAAATATAAACGATATTTATATGCATGTTAATTTGTATATAAACAATTCGTGCAACTATAAAATTTACATATTAAAAATGTTCAGAAGTGTTCCGAGTTAACATTCTTTTAATAAAACATTTCATGGCGAATGCAATATTTTGAAAGTATGCGTTTTCTTATTAGAAAACATTAAATACTTTGTAGAACATTTGTATATAAAAATACTTTCAATAAGATTAGAAATACGTCCTATGCACTTCTGGTTCATTATATGTTGACATGCAAATTTTATAAACTACGTGTATTATATCTTCCATTGTAACGGCTTAATAATTCAGTAGCAAATTCTAAGTTCTTCCACCTTGAAAACTTTTAAAAAGTGATTCCATTCTCATTTTATAAAGTATGAAACAAAATATTAACATCACTTTAGATTATTTATTTTTGTGAATAATCTTGTGACTTTAGCAACATGCGCATATTATGTATGAAACACGAATGAATGATGTTGCATAAAAAAAAATGTATCTATTTTCATAGAAATTCTGGTAATATCAGTGATTTAAAGTCTCTGATCTAATGATCAAAATTACATTTTTTACTACTTATTCTATAATCAGAATTTATATCATATCTTCCTTTTCAAATCTTACACAATAATTAATGAAAGGTAAATAAATTGTTAATAAAGAGCATATAAATTTCAATCAAAATTTGTTTCTTTCATCATTTAGAAGCGTCTAAATCTACAATGCATTTCTTAAAATCTTGTAACTAAAATAGATTTTTATTTTGTTAAGTAATTAATAATAGAATTCTTGCAACAAATTTTATTTCGTTAGAATATTATTAAAAATTTTAAAATATAAGTATAATTTTGTCATTAAGGACGCTTCTACAAACGTTTATGAATAAGTGATAGAAAATTAAGAATAATTTAAAGTAATAACTTTCTGTATATTAATTGTTATATTCTAAATTATATTATTATTATGTTAAAATAATTATTGTCTCATTTTTATTATAGCGACTATTATTATTATTGTTTAAATCTTAAGATTCTAAGTTTCCAATCTGTTTTTAGCTTTGTTAAGAAAATGAAAAAAAATATTCTCTAAAAATGAGAGTGGTGATATGCGTGTGTGGCGCGATGTATTTTTTAAAGACGATATATCAAATTATATTTGTAAATTATAAAAATATGATGGTAAGAACAAAGAGGGAGATGGTGACTGCTATGATAAAGCTATAGAATTTTAGACATCTTTCGTATGCTATAATAAATTGAAGTTATTGTATTAGCGATTATCGTCGGGTTACCGAGTTGTATCATAAATTATTGGAGAAAACTATTAACTTGAAAGCTAAAAAAATGCGGGCATTTGGTCGTCAACGCAATAACAATAAAGAAATGTATGCAGTTACAAAATATTTTCTTTTTAGCAAATGTGCCATGCAATATTTCATATTGATAAACAAGCTAGTGTTATATATATACATATACTTGGCTACTGTACAAGATATTTTAATTGATAACATCTTATTTGATTTAATTGAAAAAATATTGTAAATTAGTTTTACAGAAGTAACAAAAAATTATAAACTAATATATATATATATACATAACACTAGCTAAAAAACGTCATTACCAACAGTGTAGAAGTTAATATTGTTATATTGTATTCTTTTTTTAAACAAAGAAGTGTATGTTTATTTTTTTCCAATTGTAAACTTCTTAGTTCTTAAATCATGATAAAACTCAAAACATAGTTTCTTAATCATGAGATTACAGTATTTCTGTTACTATGATTTAAAAAAGAAGATATGATTAAAAGAATAGTGAAACATTACTTGAATAATTTATGTTTTTATTAATCCTTTTTCAATAAAATGAAAAATTTTACAAAACAGCGTGCTGTTAACTTGTCTGTCTCTATTGTTATTTAAAGTGAACTCAATGAATACATGATGTTATAAATTTTCATTTTTATTTTACCCAAAATTTGTAACGTTTTGAAAACGTACGAAAAGATGAATTTAGTTAACTGTTTATAAATTTAGTTTGTGCATTGTAATTATGAAACATCTGCCTGTATAAATGGAATTTTGGAATGGGAAGTCTAGTAAATTCTTTTTCATTTTGATGAAATAACAATATTAATGACATAAAAGTATATGGTATCCGACGATTCAAATAATCCCGATACAAAGGGTTCTAGAAGAAATTGTTACAATACTGACGTAGAGGTTAGGTACAAAATCAAAATGCGCATGCGCTTCTTATGATCGCTTCTCTCCCTCCTCCTGCTCCCTGCCGCTCTGTTACTATTCCAGTTCGCGTTTGTTGCCCGTGAAGGATGCCTTCTGCCAACCCTAAACTAGAAAAACAGGCTTCTACGGAGACCGTAGAACCTATACGCCAAGCAATTATTGTTATCGAGCATAAAATACGGAATCTCGAAAAACGTAAGGTAAGCATTTGGATAATACACATGTAAATAACAGCGAGAAAATTATCTGTCAGTTGATAGCTTTTACGGTGCAATCCGCCATGATTGGATACGCCATGTGCTCACGCTCGAAATTTCGTAGGTATCCAATGATTATATTATGACGAATTGATCCTTGTTATTATGTTCTGGTATTGGAACTCTTTCTCATTAAAGCTAAGTTGAAGTGAAGTTCGTTCTTCTACATTTGAACGCCTAGATTTGCAATCGCGAACCTCGTGTCATGGCGGTATTTCCTAAAGATGTGCACAAAACTTTACGTGACACGCTTTCGACTCAGCGCCGGTAAATTAGGTTGTCCAACGACATTTTCCATTCAGCATGTTATTAAAAATTCATGTACAAAATTTAAATGCACAGATTTCCTTTCAACGCGTAGGAGATCTTTTGTTTGCTCGCGTTTATAATACTAGAACTATACAACACTACGAGATTATAAACAGAATTATAATGTTTTATAAGAGGGTGAATCGAAAAGGAATAATACGTAAAATTTGTCACTTAAAATTAAGAAAAACAAATAATATGTATGCGCGCACACGCATATATGTTTTGTAATATAGTTGTATTTTACTGGAAAATATAATAAATTGATATCCTTTATTTAAAACTAATAGCATATGTTTTGTTTAGGGAAAGTTAGAATCGTACAGGGATCTGCAGAAAAATGGAAGGGAACTAAATGCAGATCAAAAAACAGCAGTAGCTAAATATGACGAAGTATTACAAACATTGGATATCACAAAGGAACTGTATAAGCAAATTGTTGGAATTGCACATGATGCAGTCAAACAGCAAAAAAAATTGGCAAGGAAAGAGGCTATTGAGAGAATGCAACAGGACATTGCAAAGGTAAGGTAAATTAAGAATAGTCTTATAATTTGTAGCATTCTCATGTTCTCAATATTTGTTAATTCAGGTGAAAGAGGTTCTTCTTATACAAGATGCACTAATGAACATGGGTACAGAATCTGTTAGAGAAGATTTTCTTGCTGGGAAAAATGGTGCTGTAAAATTGTCAGAACAAGATTTAAAATACTTGGATAGTTTATATAATGAAGTTATGATGAAACATCATAGAGAAGAAGGTGAACCAACATTTTTCCAACAAGTGCAGAAAGTAGCCGAACACTATGTAGCCATTGTTGATGGAAAACAGAGAGAAATTGCTGGCACAACTTACAATAAATTAAAAGAAATTATTACCTCCATTAATCAGTGTGGCTATTTTGATCAAGTTCATGAAACTGAAGCTGTAGTAGAAGAAGTAAGACAAATGCTTGTGTTTTTATCAGTTTTATAATTGATTTAAACAAGATACAATTAAACAAACAGGAAATAGTACTCAAGAATACATTGTTAAATTTTTCATAGGTTACAGAAGCAGTTGCGGAAACGCAAATATCTGAAACTCCTGTGCAAGATCAAGTCAATGAGGAATATAATACTAATGACAGACACATTCCACCTGAGTCCATGATTCCAATTCCAAACTTCCCCGTGCAGGTTACACCTCTCCCTGTTGTTTCTGGCACTACCCCAGTTTCTGGCCCTATTCCTGTAGTTGCACAACCCATTCCACATCCAGCTGCACCAGTTGAGACATCTTATTATACAAATGCAACAGGATTTGTTCCACAACCACAGCCACAGCCACAGCCACAACAGCAACAGCAATCTCAACAAACTCAGCAACAGCCACAAGCTCCTAGGATTAATGATGTCATAGGCACACCAAATTTCTTTTTCTTACAAGAATCGGAGCTTGATTCGCCAGATGTTACACCACAAGCACCAATAGTATCACACATTCCTACTGCTGTTAATGCACCTATTCCTTCACAAACATTTACTAATCAAAACTTTGCAAATGCACCGGTAGTAGCACAACAAGTTATATATCAACATCAGCCACCACAAGATATGTCCCACATTCCTGGATTTGCCAATCCGAATCCTCCCCCACCTATCCCAATGCCACCCTCTCATCAGCAACCAAATATACAATATAGTCCTCAGCATCCTGCCAATTTTCAACAACAGCCACAGCAACAACAAGCTTCTTCACAAATAACGCAACAAGCACAAAATCAAAATTTTGAACATCAACAAGAAAATCAACAACAACCTGCTGAAGTATATTACTAATATTATTGTAAAATATATGATATTTATTTTACAAACAGAATATTAAGGTACTCTTTTTTTTTTTCTTTTCAGGAAAAAGTTGAAGAAAATCAAGATGAAACAATAGCACCAGAATCAGAAATAGAACAACCTAATGAATCTGTGGATTGGTGCCAGATGACTGAAACTAACGATTGGAATCAAACAGATCAATCACAACAATCTACTCAAGATTCACAACAAACACAACAACAAACATCTCAGCAAAATTGGGGTGATCAACAACAACGTAGTGGATATAGAGGCAGGGGTGGAAGAAGAGGTAATTCTAATGGGTACAATGGAAGAAGTAGGGGCGGTTATCAACAAAACGGACGTGCAGGTCAAGGTATAAAATATGCATACTGTTATTGAGCAATAAAATTTAATACGTTTGATTAAATAATAATTATTTATTTAGGGACGTACTATCGTAATGATAGTAATTATCAAAATGGTTATCAACAACGATCGTGGGGTAATAGTGAAGGAAATAGTGGTTACAATTCTGGTTATAAAAGAGGTGGTGGATCAAGAGGTGGAGGTCCACGAGGTGAGCGTGGTATGGATAGAGGTGGTCGAGGACAGTTTCGTGGTCAAAGAGGTGGAAACCGTGGTGGTTATACACCCCGTGGTAAACCCCATACGCAGCAGTAATAAAAATGCGATAGAATAATGCACAGTGAAACATAAATAATGCTGTAAGATCATAATTCAATTGTCTATTTACGAAAAAAACCTAAGTCGTATGTTGAAACTTTACATACTAAAATTCGTATATACAACTTGGCTTAGTATTTTCTTCCGGTACCTGGAAAAAAATAATGAGCCAAGTTATATACATGAATTTTAGTACATAAAATAGCAATTTCAATGTTTTAGATTGTTATTTGATAATTCTTGTAAATGATTCATTAATTATATTTATACATATTAAGAGAATAACATTAAGGAAAAAGTACTGATATTTACATAAGTTTACATTTAAAAAAATGTTGCATTTAATCAGTATGATAAAAAAAAATTGATTTGAAAAAAAACATTTTGGTACATTTTTTTTGCGGCTTAGGATATTTCCTAAATGGGACTATTGAATAAAAAAATTTTGCATTTGAATTTGGTATCTACAATTATCAAAAGAAAGATCTAATAACGAAAGGGTTATGCAGACGTAACATTGTGATATAAGAAAAGATCAACCAAATTTGAAAGCGTGAACCCACCATGCAAGTATTATTGTGTTGTGACAGAAGGCAGTTTTCACAGGGCAACAACAGCTGATCAACAAAGATTAGAAAAATAATTTTATTATAAAAAAAAATACAAAAAAAAATGAGAACTCATACAAGCATTTCACGCAAAGACACAAGAATGTATTTAACGAATAACGTTGAAGTAATTACATGAATAGATGAACTGCACGACCATCTCTTTGTCTTGCGGCGCATCGTTCTGGAGAATTTTTTAAGATATCAGAAAAAAGAGAATACAGTGAGCAATGCCTTCTAGTGCTATATATCTTCTTGACTTCATATTCCATTTTTTGGTCTATGAATCTGTGAAGTATTTAGAAAGTTAAAGTTGTCGAGATTTAGTAGTTTGGAAAATGAAAGATTAACGTAATACATGAATACATAAAAAATGTTTTTCATGAAACATGTTTCATGATTGCTGCTAATTACGTCGCTCCCTCTTCTGTTTTTTCTGTGTGATTTCAAAATTCTGTACGGTCGCCTACGCAGCTGGCCAAGTAAAAGAGATTGCAGTGCAATGTCAAGTTTATAAAGCAACATTACCTGATTTTTTTTATCGCAAAATATATATGATTATTTTAAAAAAATAAAGCGATAGTGCGGAGCTTTAGCATGTAAGTCGAATGTACAATTTCTGACTAGAGACAAAGAAAAGCGCATTTGAATAATGCGCCAATGACGAAAGCCACGCTCACACCGCCAAACACGTGATGAGGAGTACCGTATCGTATTTTTTTTTTTTTTTTTTTTTTTTTTTTTTTTTTTTGTATATTTGTGTTTAATCACCTCCATCTACAGTTATGTTCAACTATCCTATGAATACCTATGTATCTTCCAAATAAAGATCTAATTCAACCCTGCTAACTAGCCTACCTATCGTACTCATTGTCAACACGAAAATCGTTTCATTCTTCAGCTTGTTCTCAAATAAAAAAATCGAATAAAGTATTTGATTAATCATATTTTAATAATATTGTCCATTTTATTAACATTTTCTTTTTTGTTTACTATTTTCTTTTTTGTTTACTATTTTCTTTTTTTTTACTTTAAGTCAAATTATAGAATATTTAAATAACGCATTGTTGCTGTAACTAAAACATTTATTTAAATTTCGCGCTTTCTCATATGTGGTACAGTACTTTAACTGATTAACGTAGTTGAAATTCGTTTCAAATTAAATGTGGTTAGAATTCTCTGAATTTGGTACATTATATTCGAGTTGATGCAGGTATTGTTGGTGTATAATTTTATCTCAATAATTATAACAAAATTATAAATATTTTCTGTATCGTGTATGTAACAGAGTGTAAGTATAGTTAAAGCAATTATAATATACGTATACAATCAGTGCGATTAAATAGAAGTAATCACCATTTTTTTGATGTTCATTAAAATTGATATATTTAAAATATATTTACTATTATTAAGATAATACATGTAATATATTAAAAAATATTTTATATGCATATTAATAAGTACATTTAGGTTAAAAATATTAATAGTTTTTCTAATTTTTTAATTCATTGTATTAGAATGATGATTAAAACTGCTTGTGACCCTACAATAGAGAGACATTTCAAAGGTCATGAAAATGCTATCACAAGCTTGTGTTTTCACCCTGAAACTACTCAATTAGTATCAAGTAGTTCAGACAAAAGTATAATATTATGGAATCTGAAAGAATCTGTGAGAGCTTGTAGATTTCTTGGACATAAAGATGCAGTTTCTGATGTCACATATGCACCATCGGGGGAAGTCATAGCTAGTGCTTCCAACGATAGATCTGTTAGAATTTGGGTTCCTAAAATAACAGGACAATGTTTAGATTTTAAAGCACATTCAGGAGCTGTTAGATCAGTACAATTTAGTCCAGATGGAGAAAAGGTATATACTTATATTTTAAATAATAATAGAGCTACAGTAGCTGTAAAAGTATCTGCATGCCATTTAGTAATATTTTCATATTTACAACATTTAATATTATGAGAATGAAATCTAGAATCAAAACATATAGCACTTTTATTAAAAAGTAAGACTGTCTGCTAATGTTTTTTATATTCTCTGTAATTTATCTCTAGTACACATTTATATTTATATATGTTTTAATATATAGTTAATTACTGCATCAGATGATAAAAGTATTAAATTATGGATGGTACAACAAAGAAGATTTCTTATGTCATTTACATGTCACACAAATTGGGTCAGGTGTGCTAAATTTTCTTCAGATGGTAGACTTATAGTTTCTTGTAGTGATGATAAAACAATAAAATTATGGGATATCGCTAGTGGTAAATGCATCAAAACCTTCAATGATGTAAAAGGTATAAATTACATTTATTAATTTATCATATTTTTATTATTTATCATATTTAAATATATTTAAATACAAATCAATCTTATTAGCGTATTCCACATATGTGGAATTTCATCCAAGTGGCTGTGTTATTGGATCAGCAAATGTAACTGGTTCTGTTAAATTGTATGATATACGCACTGCTTCTTTATATCAACATTATGCGACTCATAAAGATTCAGTAAATATGATAAAATTTCATCCAAAAGGAAACTTTATATTGACTGCATCTGATGATTCAACGATGAAGGTATATCAAATATTTTTATATTAATGTCTTTTTTCTGTATTTATTAAAGATTGTAAAATAGGTTTTAGATTTATTAGAAGGTCGTCCAATTTATACACTCAAAGGACATGCAAATGGTACCAGTGTGACATCAGTAACATTCTCTTCCAATGGAGAATTTTTTGCTTCTGGCGGTACAGATCAACAATTATTAATGTGGAAAACAAATTTTGATAAAGATGATATTTCTCGAAAAATTCCACGACGTTTATTCTCACCCATTGAAGAATTGGAATCTAACACGAAAGAGGAAAAATCACATAAAGATGATGATACACCTGAAGGAGAAGATATAGAAGTAACTGTTATTTTGAGATTTTAGAATTTATTTATATTCGATACTTTCACTTATAATTTAAAATATTTTATTATTTTAGTCATTACATGAGAAATCTGATATTACGAATTTAAAAAATGATAAAAGTTCTTATTGTAAAATATCAGATGCTGGGGCATTAACTAAAGATATAGAATATAAAGTCATAAATATGAGAAATCAGAGACCTTTTGAAAAAGGCCGTATTGTGAATATATCACATTTACCTGGTACATATTCCAATGAAATAGTAGATGCACTTAATGAACAAGTGCAATCATTAAGTGATGCTGTTACTCTTTTAGAACAACGTTTGTCTGTGTTAGAAGAAGAATTAAAAAATAACTTTTTATAATTTATTTAAGAAGTTATTCAATTATGATGCAAATAACCCAAATACTTGTAAAATATATATTTAAATTGTATTTAATAGTTAAAGATTAATTATTTCAAAATATAATACAAATCTTTTAATTAATTTATCAGTACAATGTTATAAAAGTGAATTTTAATATGAAAAGTTACATAAAGTACAATAATTTTACAGAAGGAGAAAATATAAATTTCGATATAATAAAAAAATAACAATTATATCTATAAAATAATTATTTCTTTACGCCTAAAAATTGACATGCCTTTCCAGTTTTCTTAATGACCTGTAGTATTTCATCAGAAGGAAGTGCAGATGTTACAAATACTCTCTTTCCTTGTAGATCTATTTGTACATTGCCAATACCTAAAAATGAATTCTAAGTAAAATAATTTTTTAACACAAAGATTGCAAAATAAAAGTTCCATATGTTTTTATTTGATGTTCTTTGACAAAAAATTTCATAATTAGAAATTAATTATTACATGTTTACTTAGAAAAATTAGAGACACTTCCAAATTTAAATGAAATATAAATCTAATTATTAAAATATATAATAATAATTGAACCATACCTTCCTTCTTATTAAGTACATTTGTTACAGCATTGGCACATCCTTCACACGTCATTTCTACACTGAATTCGTGCACCTTAAATTTATATTGTTGTGTATTGATATTTCATGATTATACTGTTAAATGTAAATTAAAAATTTAATTATTACAAATTAAGAATTTTATTACCTGAGATGTCATATCGATAATCGCTTATATTTATTAAGTAGTTATTTAGCACAACGGATCAATTGTGTTTTGTACAAACAGAACAATGAGTTCTTTCTTATTGAACCGGAAATAACTTTTATCTAACGTTTAAAATGATAATATAGTATTTATTTAATGGGTATTTAACAAGTATTTAAAGATTTACTTATTTTTGATGACGTATTTGCAACGATGGCTGGTGTTCTTTTCATTAACCTATGTGATTAATACTACGACAAAAAGGAAATTTTTTTATTTTATTAAATGTACAGTATACAAAAAATCATACGCGATTTATTCTATAGAACATAGATATATTTAGTAAATTTTTATTAATAAGTTTAATAACTATTTATTTTATTTTATTATTAATAAGTTTAATATGCGAACGATGTAATTAAATTAGCATAAAACATTCTTTAGGTGTTCAATAAATGATATTTTTTAATAAAAAGTAGCAAAATGTATATCATAATTAAATAATTTAATTTCGTTTATGAAAGGGTAACGTATGTAACTTTAATAATAAATTCAGTTCACTTACCTCAAAAATTGTCAAGAACAATCATATGAAGTCCTTTTCTATATATTGAATCGCTTTTGTTACAGATATTTTTTAAATATTCATATTTAACAAATATAATTTTCAATAACTTATATAATAACTGTAGTAGAATGAAATATTAATTTAAATACTGATTCCTATTTAACCTCTTTTTCTGTTAGTCTAAATTTAAGAAAAAGATTTTCACTATAGAATATTATTTATTAATTATTACTGCATAAAACAAAAATATCATCACAGTAATCAGTTCATTTTTTTATACCAAGAATTTATTATTCACATTAATGATTTATTTATAATTTAATTTTATATATTCAATCATATTGTTTTATCATTTGTGTGCGTGTATATATATATATAAATTCAATATCTGCATTAAAATATAGTTTTTAGACTTATGTCTAACTATATACGTTTTATTTCAGTTTAAATTGAATGTTATGCTTAATTATTATGATTGAATTATTTATATGTAATACATAGATTAATCTCAAAGTTCATTAAATTAAGCCCTATTGATGTAATCCATATATATATATTAGTATTTATTTAATAATATATTCCAGAATTTATAGGAGAAAGGATAGTCGTACTAAAAAGAGTGTCTGTAATAATTTTATATAAAACAAGACTAACTTCATATACATTTACATATTCTTTTTATATATACTTTTTTTGTAAGTACATATACTTAAGTAAATAAATTGGTATAACGGACTATGTTCTATAGTTTCAAAATATTTCCCCAATCACTTTAATAAAATAAAGACATAAAGGCTATCTTTTAGTTTCATGATATTTTAAATATTTTATAATACTTACAACACTTACGATTTAAACGGTAATTTGAGTTAATATATCTGAATGTGTAAAAAAGTACAACTGATATAATCTTATTATAAGTTTCATTGAAATAATTTGAAATAATTTATACACATCATTTTAAAAATCATTTATAAAATAATTATATTTTAAAGCTTGCGTTTTGTTTGTTGAAGTTAGGAAAAAAAACATGTTAATAAATACAGTTATTGAAAACTTTGTCTTGCAAGATTGGAAAAGTTGGAAGCAGCTGATTTGAAAAAAAATATTGTTTACACAAGTGAAATAATACATTTTTGAATAATATTTTACTATAACAATATAATAATGTCAACTTAAAATTATCTTGCTTTTTAGAGTAAGTTGATGGGGAAACTACTTAATCTAAAGGACTAACTGGGTTGTAGCCTGATGGTAGAGTATTATGAATCCATCGTCAAAGAAAACTATAAGTGTTTTGAATTGCTCTACCACTAGATGATGATGAACTTTGTTGTTCTGTAATGTTGTTTTGTTGTTCCAGTCTTTCCAGTGATTCTGTACGTGTTCTTATAGAACCTCCATATGTGCGTACCTATATATTAACATGTTTACATTTATTATATGTCTAATTTATGTGAAATAATTATATTTTATCTTAAATTTTCTGGATTTAAATATTATATGTATAATAATGAATGAATTATTCATCCTTCCAGGTAGTAAAATGAACCAGAAATTTTAAGAATATTTTACACATAAAAGCGAGCTCCTTGTCCCACGGTCATATTTATTAAGCACCATTGTCTCTTATATTAATAAAACTCTTTAACACGAAAAAATTGAAACGCGTTTCAATTTTGAGAATTGTTACAATTAAAGTACCAATTATATATACATAGTATTTATTTTGATTCTATTAAATTTCCACATTCGGATTAAACGCTTGTAAATACGTGCATATGACATGATATTGAAAAAAAAAACATTTTAAACAGTAACGACAATTTAAAAAGCAACTATTCAATTATTCCGAAATAAAATTGCAGGTGGGTAAAATTTGTATCAATTTATTTGAAAAAACAAAACAATTCTTTTTATAAATCATAAATAAACAAAACATTTTTATAAAAAATATTTGATTTTAAGAATATTATAAATTATTATTTAAAAAGTATAAAAAAATATACAGAAATGATAAAATAATTTATATTAACAAAAATGTGTTTAATTAAATATTTATAAAATAATCCGAATATGGACCTATATGAATTATTAGAAATCGATAGAAACCTTTGTAATGATATAAATATCAATTTAGGTATATATTACCAGCACAAAAAATGGGTGCATCATTTTATTTATTTACTCACTGTCTGTAGATTAGACTTCAGACTGTGGGTGTTAGCCACTCGCGTTCACTCAAGAGGAGTTAGACTTCCACTGCTGACTCTTACTTCTCTTGGCTCCGGAGCAGCTGGAGGTCTCCTTTCTTGTAACTGTTGTTGATTTACTCCAGATGCATTATGATGTCCAGACCGTATTGCATGATTCGCCACAACAAATTCTGTAAGAGTTACATCTGCTGTTCCACCAGATTCAAGAGGTATGGCATTTTGACGAAAATGTTCAAGCATATCATATATAGCAGGAAAACAGAGATGTTGAACTCTACAATGTCCTTGGTCATTTAATGTCATACGTAAATGCTGCAATAAAATAGAATTAAATTTAAAATAATAATTTAATAAAAAAGAAAAAAAATAATACATTACCTTTGCTCTGCCTTGAAAATTAAAAGTTAATACAAATTCTCCTTTTCTTGTTTCACTTTGCCGAACAAGAAATACACCATGACCATTAGCAGCACTATGTAAAACAAGCTGCGCTGCATCTGATCTAGGAAGGGTTCCATGAAACCATGGATATTCTCTTAAACTGCTAGATAAATCTAATTCACCATCATTTGCATTCACTATAACAAAATTGAATTATTTCTAACATACAAGCTATACAATCTTAAAAGATATCACAATCTTAATAAATAAATCTATCTTACTTTGTTCGATATCTTGTTGCGACGAACATAATTCCAGATTACTATTACTTCTTACGCGAAGTCTAGGAGGTATTTCTGGAGGATTGCCACTTACTTCATCTCCATGTTCATGGGATGTAGATCGGGAACTTTTACTTGTAGAATTAGTTCTTAATCTATCTCCTTCACTACCAATAGCTAATGAACCATGTCCTAAGGAATCTGCAGTAATATCTGTTCCAACACTAGGATTAATAGAATTTTGTTGTACTGTGCGCATACAATATTTAATAGTAGCTAACCATGATCTCATATCATTTGAATCATGAGCTTCTATTACAAATTCCATGTTTTGTGTCTTTAGTACAAAGGTATTTTCATGATCTGGCATTTCTAAGGCAGTTGTTTCCCTAGCTTCAGTTATTGCAGAACAAAAGACACCACTGCGTGGTTTCACTGCTTTCGGAGGAGAATAAAATTCTAACATATATCCACCAATTGCTTTTATTAAGGCAAGTCTAGACTTCTCCCATTTTTGCGTCCCATCGATATTTTCTCCCATTAAAGAATTAACAATGCCTTCTTTCCTACATTCCACCACAATCTTTGAAAGCTTAGCTTTTGAATGTTTATCTCTACGATGCTCGCTATGAGACAACTCCACCTCATCACTTTGCTGTTTGTGAAAGAAGCTCTTGCCCTTTTTAAGCCCTTTGAAAGATAAACGGCGAAAGAAGGGTTTGTGTGCAGGTTTCGGTGATATTGCATCTCCATCATGCTCAGAGTAATCACTGAATTCCTCATGAGACGATATACGTATAGGGGCGTTGTTGTTTTGGCTTACAGCATTAATATCTCTATCATTAGTTGCTACATGCCTGGTGTCGTACAAGGATGGTGACCTGTCAAGGCAATGGGGGGAAAAAAAAGGAGATAAGCTCTTTCAAATTCATACAGATTGCTCTCGCTGTAAACGGTTGTATTGTACTTGAGTTGAGAGAATTGTAAAAGCAAACAGAACAACGTCTGTTTTAATGTTATAGCATACCTAATTGTACGACGTAGGTATTCGCTTTCAAAGTGCTCACAAAAACTCTCGATAAATTTTCGTAAAAAATCACGGTAAGAAAGATTTGATCTAGCACTTTCTGGTAAATTTAAACTGACATAGGTACAAAAAGCTTTAGCAAAATCAGAAGCCGAAGCGCGGGCGTGTCTCTCACAGAATTCTATCCAACCAGGTGCAGCTTCAGGCGACACGGCGACCGCCGGCGCCGTTGTTGTCGGCGTAGCCGTCGTCGTCAGTGTTACAGCTGTCGTCGTCGTTGCCGTTGTTGTTGATATTATTGTACTCGTCGTTGGTGTCGCCGTAGTTATGGTATAAACACTCATTACCGGCGTATGCCTCACCAAGGGGGTTAAAGACCTCCCCCTGCCACTATACAACCACCGCAAAATTCTTAACACAATCGCAATACCCTATGTATAGAAGGACATACGCACATATATATACATATGTGTATGTGCGTGTGTGCGTGTGAATCGAATTTCTTCATATGTACAGACTATTAAGTACGAAATACAGGATATTGTTATTCCTTTTTTTTTTTTTCTTTTTTCTTTTAATGCAATTACCAATACAATTCGACTCGACACTGTATACTCGCTTTCGAAGGAAAAACGAATAGATATTACTCCAGTCCGAGAGTAATTGGCCTTTCTTTTTCGATCGTTCTTTCCTTTTTGTTCGTGGACTACCGCAATGCGAGTAACAATTATTCTCTCGTTTTCTCTTTCTACTCGCGCAGCGAACGACATTCGACTCTCATGTTTGATTCCCTTGAATTTTGCGTAACAATGTCTCTGTTCCGCGGAAATATTTTTACCGACATTATGAAATATGGTAACCGTTAAAACTACTAGCGCGATCTGTCTCGCGTGTGGTGCGATGCTTGCGAAAAATTCTGCCGCAAAAATGTCGACATGGATGACGAAGGTTTGGCAGAGGACGAAAGTTAATGATCTAGAAACGTGAGTACCACGATCGTTCGATCGTGATTTTTGCGTAACATTTTGGAATCTTTTGATTTCCTTTTATTTAGAATTACCATAATCGATTGTAAATTTACACACCAGCGTTTGATAAACAGTATTGACGTCTTTATTTTATTTTGACGAACAAACATGTATACATTGAGGATTTGTTTGAATTTGTATAAAGTGACAAAATATGACTAGCAAGTAACTTCGTCATTTACACTATTCAACGTCAACAATTCAACATTACAAACGAAGATTATTAAGTTCTGAGTGTCGCATTCTTCTGTATAATTTCTGTATCGTTGCGTTATTTTCAATTTATGTATAATATATCGTAAACCGGTTTTGGAAGATAATCGCTACACAAAGCTTGTATTCTCTCTTTACGCGACACTGGTGTATATTTTCTCATTGGAAAGGTTTTCATTACTCCATCGATTAAAGCTCTAGTTACTGGTGTCAGATCTATATCTGCCCCCTGTGTATATCTTTCAAGAGCCAACATTTCTTTCTGAAACAATTCTTGCCCATACTCCTTGCGGGTTTGAGGATCTAGTTGAGTCCACATATCTCTGGCTTGTTCCAGCAACGAGCTGTTGTCTTTTAACCAAGCACTTCCAGATACGTACTCGCTGGTTTCAACAATAACTATGTCCACTCCCCATCTTCTCATTTCTAACCTGAGACAAGCTGCCCAAGCTTCGACTGCAGCCTATCATTACATACACGATCATGTATAAGTATTTTGTTAGCATTGTACTTTAATATGAGTCATTGATATTTTTAAAATTATCTACCTTAACAGCACAATAAATGCCTCGAACAGGACTTGGTATACGAGCTAAGAGGCTGTTAACTATCACGACACGACCTTTTGATCGTCTAATTAGAGGTAAAAAGACCTTTAAATAGAATTTCATTACTTTAGTAATAGACATTTACTTATTAACTTACTGTAATATATAATTATTGATGATATAATAAAATCACCTGAGTTAATCTAGCAAGACCAATGAAATTAATGTCTACACTGCGTCTTAATACAGAAGGAGGTACCCATTCACATTCACCTAGTGTCACCCAAGCAGCAGCATGTATTAATGCCCATAAACCTGTTGTAAGATATTTATGATTTCCAAATAACACGCTGTAATAAATGGATTACCACAGATTATTCATTATCAAAAAAGTAGATATTAACCCGGTGCCCCATCTGGTAAGTTTTCATTTACATAAAGAAATGTTGAATGAATATCATGTTCGCTAGTAACATCTAATTGTAATATGTGTAATCTGCCGGAAGCTTCCTGTTTTAATTTTTGCATTGCCTCTTCACTTTCAACTTTTGTACTAAATCCAGCAAATACTGTAAATCCCTTTAGAAATAAATTCTGTATATGTAGAAGATAGAATACTACAAATGAATGATAATTATAAAAAGAATACATAGAAATTATCTTACTAATTCATCTAGTTGTTTACTTAAAGTATATCCAACTCTTGAATCACAACCTGTAATAAGAACTGCTTTTCCTGCCGCAGTTACCTATAGCAAGTATTTATATTTTTGTGTAATTATATGTTTATGTATTAATATTGTAAAATATTTGTATGTTATCTGTATTAGAATTAAGAAATAAATATTGTAAGCGATAGTTTATACTTATCCTATGTAATCTTATATAGATTAATAAACACATGTTTTTAATGACTTACCTTTAAATTATGATAAAATAATGTAAATCCTACAGATATGGCCAACAATAAAAGAAAAAGCACAAAACTAGACGTTTGCGATATACTCAGTGTATTTAATATAGTTGCTAAAATGACTGCAATTGCATGTGAGAATGCAATTGGAAGAAGACATCTTTCTGCTAATTCCCATGTTTGACTGTCATCTGGTTCTTTGCTTGCACTTGGTAAAGGCATTTCTAGTTTAATTCTGATAATATTTTAAAGAAATTTAATTGATTACATTCAGATGGGACTTCAACTAAGTGCCCTAACTGGGCTAACTCTGAGCTAACTTTAAACTTAAAGTAGTATCTAGTCTCATTGATCTAAATTTAGCTACAGTGCTGTGTCCTAAGTTCATAGATCCTAGTAAAATTATATATTTTATCTAAAATGTAATTAGAGCCTATTGAAGCAGATATAGCTAGACTCTCTCATACATATACATATACATATACATATATATATTTAAATAAAATTAACTTCATTTATATAATTATATTTCACATATCTTTATAATTCATTTTCTACAAAAGAAATTACTTTTTTTTTTAGATATTTATTAATGTGTATAAATATATGTATATAATAAAATTTATATTTTTTGTATCTTATTCTTAATGAGAAATGAAATAACAATTTTGTGTTATTCAAAAAAACTATAATTTTTTTCATTCGTTTATATATTCAAGATAACACCCTACCAAACGTGTTAATTTTACAAAATAGAAGTAACTAGTAAAGGAATAAATTTCAAACGTAAGTAGCAAATCAATTCTTTCATTGAAATATATTACTCTCATCATCAATGAGAAGTTGAGTTGCAATGTAAACAATCCATTTGCAGAATAATAAAAAAATGAATACCAAAGTGGGGTAGGTTATTGATTTCTGTGTGGGTGCCATGTTGGGAGGGAATACCATGGTGGGTGTCTCTTGGACATACCATACGCAGTAGTCTACAGAGAATATAAATAGGAGGGGTAGTTGCACCATTGACCCAGTGTTGAGTTGACATACGGTCAGTTCAGTCACTCGAAGGAATTACGTCTTACGCCTTTCTAAGTTTTATATCTGTGTACGTGAATTATTAATAATCGTAGTAGAAAGCCCTTGTAAAATCAACAATCCAATGCAATCCAAAACACTGCCCTTTCTTACATACCTTCCGACTTTACAAATTTACACCCGAGTCATCGGCATGTATCTAGTGTTTTAAGCATTCTGCACAAACGTTCTATGATAAAAAAAAATTCAATAAACATTGGTGGACACCCGCGTTAATCAAGTGTACGCGAATCTCGATTTTTCTTTAAAGAAAATCAGCAGCACTGATAAACCAATGTGCAACGATAATCAGGCCTTAGCGGTGGTCAATTTTTTCGAAGAAAGTGAACTTTTGATGACATAAATTTCGCACGTTCGATCGACGTTTGATCGAATAAAGAAAGTACAAGACCAAACGAACTTATTTGTGAGCGGTTTTCAGATTGTTCTCTCATTTAAAGCAATATGTCAGAAACAGCGGGAATTTCGCAAGGATTGGGAAATCCTTACAAAATTGTTGATCACACCCGAGAGAAACGAAAGGGAATCACTGCTTCTTCTTTAAAAGAATTAACCAATATTGCAAGGAGTCGTCTGTCTTTGCCTTTAGACGCAGAACTAACAATTGTCCTGGAACAAGATGGTAAGGTAACACTTTTATTGTCAGCAAATAAATATAAATTCCATGTATAAATTAATATGCGAGCAGATTACTCAAATTTTTATTATTGCTTTTATATTAGGAACTGAGGTAGATGATGAAGAATATTTTGCAACGTTAGAAAGAAATACTAGTCTAATGGTTCTGTATGGAGATCAAAAGTGGGCGGCAGCAGGAAGCAGTAAAGCTGCTTCTCGTTACATTGTTGTCGACGACGTAGATAATATAGAAGGTGGACAAAGAAGAGAGGAACTCAGAAGGCGTCGACCACCAATAGAAGCTTTAGTCTCATCATTGCATGGTGATCCATCTCATATATCGCTGCTTGATGGACAGAATTTAGAACTGCTTAGTGACATGGATCCAGATAGTGTGGCTGATATAGTGTCTGGCAATATGTAAGTATATCTTTGAAAATTAGTTTAGAATATTACAGAGTATTATAAAAACTTAACGCCATTTAATTCGTACATTATTTCAGAATCTTCCTTGAACAATTGAAAGAAGCTTCAGGCAGATTTTTGGCTGAAAAACGGCAAGCACAAGGATCCTTGGATGTTCTTCAGATGTGTGCAAGTGGTGGAGAAATAGAGCGAGCGTAGGCCATGTGGGGGGTGGGCGCCCTCACATTGGCTAACATGTATCGAGTGCGACGTCGCATATTTTATAAAGGTCGCCAATTACAACAAACTTTAATCCTTTTCTGGAATTGAGCCCATCGTATTTAAAGCGTACGAGTTTACTGCGCTGTCTACCATCATATTACTCATGAAAACTGAATGTTTGCATTGTCAATGAAAGTCTTGAGATTCTACTATGCGACATTTTAAAAGATGCAATGGTGAAAAGACGTGTATAGGAACTAGTGAGTTCCTATTTTTGACGGGTAGTTGAGTCTTATTTCTGAGATATTTGCAGGTATTTGCTAAATATGTGAACATTTAAATTCATTAGCAAAAGAGAAATTTATGGAACATTACTGCTTGTCAGTGCTATAAGTTAATGCTATAATAATGCATAGTTACATGTTTTGTTAATAGCAACTTGTTTTTTCTGATTGTTTTATTTTTTTATTTTATATAGGTTTATAGCATAAATATACAGTTCTAGTGTTATTTATTTTGTAGAATACGACGTAAGGAATTGCTTTAATGCAAAATGAGGTCTTAAAATACACATGCATAGTTAAACATATGCAATTTAGCCATTAAATAATCTGTATGTATTACATAAACAAAAGCTATATAGAAATATCATGTCAAAGAAAACATTCCGTCACGATGTTGTCATATCAGTATTATCAAAAAGGCGACATGTTTGGTTTATGAACTTTTGTATGTAGATATATTATACCAACTCGTTTAGTTCAACGAAGATCGATGAAATGTTTAAGACTGAATTTATAGAGAAAGAATGCATCCCCATTATAATCATCAATTCATTGTACACTAAATTTAGCGTGGTAATAGGGAAAATCAATATCAGCTCTTTGATACCAGAGTTATGCATTTGATAAGAAAAACTGCAGAAAAAAAAAGAAAATGTGCACGTGTTTCTGAAAAGATTATGCATACGCAAAATGATATTGTATTAAAATAAAATTTATTATATCTAAACTTGTTACGAAAATGAAACCAACTTTACGACGTTTAAAGACACAAGTTACTTAACGTTTATATGTAATAATGCTTATTTTAAATTTTAAAAATAAAAGATTTAATGCTTATGTTTATTCTTTGCAGAAACACTCTTAAACGAAACATCGTGACATTCTTTGATATATATCTTAACATCTGTATACTACAAAATAATGTTTACATTTACTGTCATTTGGATATTTAAAATGCAACGATCAGCATAGACATATTAATAATTAATAGCATCCAAATGTGTCAGTAATTATAAATTTGTTCTATAATTTCTAATGACGTTTCTTTGTGAGATTGAACAAAGTAATATTTTAAAACGTATTAGAAAATAGTTGATATATTTAATAGAACTGCCAATTAAAGAAAACAATTGATGCTCAATAATGTCCCACCCATCATGTCCTTTAAAAATACTGATTTTTTAATACTGATATTTAACACATTATACTAAGGTAGCATTGTTATTATTATCGTTATTATTATTATATTCTCATTACATATTTGAATAAGTCTTATATAACAAAATATATTTACATCAATTAGGTTTTAATAGACGATATAATATTTCTATCCATGAGTTGAGACAACACATTGGAAGTATCTTTTGATCGATTGCAGGCGCTACGTAATTGAGAAACAGCCTCTTGAAGTATAAGTTCACTTCTTAGCAATTGTTTATTAACAGTTGATAGTTCTTGAGTGGCATTGCCAATTGTTCCATCAATTAATTGTATAATGTCCTTATCCAATGTTTCATTGCATTCATCTATTTTATTATAAAACATGTCAATTGAAGTATTAAACATTTTTTCTTAAGCAAGATAAATATTGTATATTATTTGTATGTATAAATACTGAGAATAATAAATGTTCTAAATAATTAAAGTTTTAGCTGAAATAAAATGAGCTTGAATCTAATGGAAATTTTCATTATTCTAGTGATTATGTTACTACAGATTCTTCTGCATCGAAATTATTATATGATATTTTAGTAATAGTAATGCATATTGTATTACAGCAGTATCAATAAAATGATGTTAATAGAAACGTTTATTCTATTATTTTCAAAAACTAACATTTGAACTTACGTAATTTTTTATGAAGTAAACTATTGTATTTTATAGAACATTTCTTTGATTTTGGTATTTTCATTTCTGGTATGCAGGTCATAGCATCGACTGCTCCACTAACACTGCTTATACTTGTTCCATCTAACGAATAGATTAGATCAGAAAAAATATTACTAGTTTATTATTCTTGTTATAAATAAGTAATATTATTATGAATGCAAAACCTTACCATCATCAGACTCTGGAGCTTCGCCAGAAATAATTGTACCACAGTAATTAGTTGCTCTTACAAAAGGGAATCCTATACCCTGTGTACAAAATATCATAATTTATGTATATATCTTTTTAGCCCATAAATTATACAATATAACAAATAACATACAGTGACAATGCTCGCAGCGTCATCATCAGATTCTGATGCCTCACCAGAAACAACAACCGCTTTCAAATCCATGTTGTATCTGAAGGAACAAATTCAGAGTCGATACAAGTTAGTGCCAATTTGAACAAAAATTCTTTAATATTTTCATGTACCATAACATCAATAACTAAAGGATTTCATATTAATTGATTGATACTAAAAAAATTATAAAGTAACAAATTAAACATTTTATAATTTGAATTTTAGCTTTTTCTAAACGATTATACTCATGGATGGCATTTAATTAATCTAACCTAAATTTTTACTCACGATTATAGTACTTGAAGAAACTTAAATATTAATTATATCCAGTAATTGTTATTTTACTATATTTTTGCTATGTTATATAAGAATAATAGACACAGAAGAATTAATATTTATTTATTATTCGTGCATACGATAGTGAACTTATAACCACAATAATTCGGATATAGCATTTCAGTATACTACATATTATGTATATGTTTAGTGTTTAGTCTTTAGCGAGTGTTACAAATTGTTTCAACGTATAATTACAAAATTTGTATTTGTAATAAAATCACTAATGTATATTTTTTTGCAAGGTTTTTATTTTTATATACAAAGAAATATTATTTACAGAAGTAATTAATTAAGCATAAAGTATTTACGTATTAAAGTTAACCGCGTAAAACATCTAATTCTTCTGGAGTAACATGCATTCTTAATTCTTTTTCTCGTATTACATCTTGAACTTGTGTAAGAAGTTGAGGTGCAACTTCAGCTGCATCAATATAAATGCTTCTAGCCCAAGGACATAATGCAACACTTTCATGGTATACTTCTTCTCCTTTCTTTTCACACAAATTATATTCCCTAAGAAAAAGCATATACAATCTCCACAATAAAGGACAATTTTTAATTGTTGGCATTCTGTAAATTTAATATTTATATTATTTTCTTAATGCTACACAATAAATTGAATAATATATTACTTAAGAACATACCTTGCAAGTGTTTGATGAAAATACATTAATTTATTAATTGCTGCGTTCATACTAACATAATCTTTAAGTTCGTGTAAAACACGAATACGTTTCCGACTTGCTAAGCACACAGCAAATGCTTTCCACAATGGAAGCTTTGTCACACGACTATTGCTCTTCCACAATGGCACTTCGCTCTGTCGAACAAATATTATAATCAAAATATTTTTTGTCGTAGTTAGAAAATTAATTTTACATTATTCTATACCTCAATGCATGCAAATGTTGAAAGGGCAAAAAAATTATTTGGATATAAATCCAACATATCATTTAGTTCTGATTTTAAAGAATTTTCATGTTGAATCAGTTTGTCATGTAATTGCAAAAGTGCGATTTGACTTTCTCGTAATAATTCCTACAATATACAATATGTTAAATATACAGTAAAATTTTTATTACAAAAAATAAAGAAATAAGATTTGTTACCTGCATGTAATGATTGTCTTTGTAATGGTTTATACAGATTTTAAATAGGCTAGTTACTCTATTAATATCGGAATTTTGTACAAATAACAAATATGCATAACACACAATTGTATCACATTTGACGTTTGGTAAAAAATACATATATTCCTCATTTTCTAAAGGAGCTTCTTGCAAAAAGTTTTGTATACAATTCTCTAAATATTCTTCCACTTGCAGCAATTGGTTCCCATTTGTTTCTGGTATTATCTGTCTCATAACGTCCAATATCTGTGTTTTATGTATTTCCTTATAAGTTTCTAAATCAAGTAACGTTTCAATAAACGTTCGATATAAACTTAAAAGTGCTGACTTTTCTTCAGGATTGTGAATTTCAGAAGGACGTGCACTTTGAGATTGAATAGCCGTTTGTAAAATATTTACACAGTTATCAAATTTCCCTACTTCTTTTTCTATCAATGCGTATTCTCTATAGAAGTGTAAATTATTTCTATTTTCGTCTTTCTTAAAGAATTCCTTTACTGTTGTTCTTAGTTTCTTTCGTCTGTAAAAGATACACAGCTAACATAAATTTTGGAACTTTTTCAAATATGCATAGCAATGTGAAATACTTATTACTTACTTATTATCATATTTTAACGGATCATCTTTTTGAAGGAAAATAAGTAATCTTTCAAATTTTAACCACCAAACGTATAAACTTGTTCGTTGTAGGGGGGGTAAATCTTTGGCGATTGTAAAAAATACATCGCGTATAAAATCTAAATATGATTCTTGTGCAGGATGAAACATAAGATACTGAGGACCTGATGTTATACGTCCTTCAAGTATGCCGTTCAATAATTTCTTCCTCTGATTGTGATCAGTCATTTCACCTACCATAGGATAAGCAAATGGAAGCAACACTTCTGAGGTTTCTATACCCCAATCAAGTTCTTGTAATGTTAACATCTGGAAATAAGCGAAAAATATGATAAGTAGTATTGGTTTGTAACGCGTGAAATTACAAATTGACCTGGTTGTATATATACAGCCATACTTTTAACATGTAGTCTCGAGTGGGTAAAAGTGGTACTTTAAGTAAAAGCAGAGTATGAATTGCCATTCGAAAATTCAAATTTTTTGAAAGTATCGGATGAACGAAATCTGCGACATCATCGGGCAAAACAAATCTTCGAGAATCGCCAACTAATTCTAATTCACTTCTACTGACACTAATCCAATGACAATTTTCTCTTAATGATTCTGTTCTTTGCCATAGTTGATTGAGTGGTAATCTTGACATTAATATTACTTCTTCCATTCCAACTGTGAACGTAATAAATAAACAAAGGTATATATAATATCCTTTTTTTAATCAATTATAAACTTACTTAATTTCTTTTCATCTATTGTTTTTTTGAAAGAGAGATTATCTTTATCCAAGCTAAGATTCAGAATGAGATTCAAACGTATTGTTTCCCACATTTGTTCCCAGAGTCCAGTATGTCTTAAAAATGTCAAACACCAGTACAACATTTCTATTGAAAATGAATTTGGATATTATCATTTTTACTCAATAAAAAAAGGTGAAATAAATTACAACTTTCTACATACGTAATAATCGTTCGTCATATACTCGAGGATTTGTCCTAGCTTTTTGCTTTAAAATGCAAAAGCATTTTAAATATAAGTCTAAAACTCTTGGTACTGTACACATTGATACTGAGGCTTGCGTTGTCATAATAAATTCCTGCCATAAAGTAATATTTCCTGTATCTTTGTTAACTAAGGCTTCAAGTTGATTCGAGAATTCATCTGCAGGTAAAAGTTCCTCCATGAAAGATAACTTTAATTTTAATAAATTTGTAGATTCTGCATTTTTTTCTAAGGCCTTCTCAACTATAGATAATTTTTTTAATGTTGTTGCCCTGCAAACATCCTTTGCAATTTGATATTGTTGAAAATATCCTAATGTATCCTGTAAATATAGAATGAAATATTTATGTAAAAAAAATTCTTGTCAGATAAATGCTTGGTAAATACAAATATACCTGAAATTCTATATATTCAATCCATAATTGAACGTCGTTTGGATTATTTGTTAATTTTTCATTGTATTCTTTGGTTTTAGATTTTTGCAACTCTTCCAATTTAATGTACCAAGAAGGAATGCATTCTTCTTCTTTAGATGAAGTAGTGGTGGATTCTTTTTTGATAACATTATCTTTTTTTTTATTCTTTTCTATGTAATCAATATTTTTTACATAGTACCTTTTATAACTGTCTTTCTTTGATTTTTTATATGGAACAAAACCAAGGGACTTTATCTTAATATCATAATATGGTCTGGCACTAGAATAAAGTGTATTTATACTATTGTTTCCTTTATCCCTATACTTATCCTCAAAATATACATTTTCTACATCTTTTTCATATTTAGGTTTTTCATATATCTTTCTATTCTTCTTCTTTCTTTTTATATGCTTAGATGTTTTTTTTTCCTCTGTTACAGGCTTCTGATTTTTTGAAGTAGCAGTATACACAGTTCTCTGTTTATGCGAATAAGAAGTTTCATCTGTAGTTTCATCCGAAGATTCAGATGAAAAGTTGTCGAAATTCTTAGACGAAATCTGTCCTGAATAACTGGAATTGTACAGCCAACTAGTCGTCTCATTTTCTACAATTGAAAATAATTATGATATAATCAATCTTATGACTGATACCAATGCAAGAAAGGTTTAGTTAACCTTTTGGAGCATTTGTTGATTCATTAGGTGTCGGAGATTTATTTCTTTCACTTGAATAAGCTGGAAATAAAGACATGTTTCCTGAAATCTATGCTGCCAATAAGTTTACATGAATGATATTCCACGTTTTCATATCGGATGCTAGATGACTGCTTACAAACAACCTAGTACTGTCAAACATGCCAATCAGAGATTCTAGGAGGGGTTAAATGCAGAGGTTATAGTTTCAGTGTATAAAGTGCATCATGATTGGTTGGAATAAATGCGCGGCAAAGTAATTTGAATCATATCGCGAGGTTAATAGTTGTTATCACGATGAGAGATTATACCAATGCCATTGAAAATTATATCTACTGTTTTGGAATTACGTGTCTAATTGGAACGTGCAGTAATGTAGTTCCAATGAAATGGACATGAACACGTCGCCCATCTTGGGATATTTTGAATTATATAATTTTTTTTCTCATGCTGGAAAATAAAGAAATTGTCTATCAAGTTACAGAGGTTATAAATTGTTGCGCATATTTTAAGGCACATATTAGTTAAATGTTTCGCAAACTTAACGCTGTGAAGTCGATCTTCGGTGCTGTGTACTCATCCACTGAAGCATCTGCAACATCAAATGTTTCACACAGAGTGAGTATATTTTTACTAGCAATCTGGAACATGTTTTGTAAAAAATATATTATTACCATGAAACAATGTCAATGTATTTTCTAACTTATTTCGTTATAGGTGCGGCAATTTAGAGAGCTGTTAAACAAAACAGATAACAATGACATACTTACAGATTCATTTGGAAGACGTCATACGTATTTACGTATTTCTATTACCGAACGTTGTAATCTAAGATGTAAGCATTCATTGAATAATATTTATTGCTTCGACTATGATATTTTCATAAAGCATCGTGCAAATTTACAAAGTGTTGATGTTGTAGGCTTATACTGTATGCCAGCAGAAGGAGTTAAGTTGACGAAAAACGATGGCATTTTAAGGGCAGACGAAATAATTAAAATAGCTGAATTGTTTGTAAATGAAGGTGTAACTAAGATACGTTTGACTGGCGGTGAACCAACTGTTAGAAAAGAAATTGTGGATATTATTGGTAAGTTTTTATATTCACTACATGTGGCATGTTGAATTTTTGATATCGAGTAAAAGTAATTGTTGCAGCTGGCTTGAAACAACTGTCTAATCTAAAACAAGTTGCAATTACTACTAACGGATTGACATTAACACGCCAATTGCCATTACTTCAACGTGCTGGGCTAGATGCAATAAATATTTCATTAGATACTCTAAGAGAAAACCGTTTTGAACAGTTTACTCGTCGAAAAGGATGGTCCAGGGTCATGGCTGCAATTGATCTTGCTGTTCAATTGGGTTATAATCCGGTAAAGGTGAGAATTAAGAATCAAGTGAAAATTTATAGCAATTTATAATTAAATCTGTACAGAAAAAAATTATGTGAAATAATTTACAGATCAATTGTGTGGTAATGAAAAACTTTAATGACGATGAGATCATTGATTTTGTTAATTTAACAAGAGATCGTCCAATTGATGTACGTTTTATTGAGTACATGCCTTTCCAAGGCAACAAGTGGAATGAGAATAAAATGGTCTCTTTCAAGATTATGAAGGAACTTATTAGAGATACGTATCCTGATTTGCAACGTCTCCCAAATAAGTACAATGATACGTCTAAGGTATGTAATCTAAAAAATTACATCAAACACACTGTTAATTTGTACTGCACACATTATCAGGAACTTAATTTCTTTTTCTTAACAGGCATATTTTATACCTGGATTCACAGGACAAGTTGGATTCATTACGTCAATGAGTGATCATTTTTGTAGCTCATGCAATCGACTGAGAATAACAGCGGATGGACATTTAAAAGTTTGTTTGTTTGAAGGTAAAGGCGAGGTATCTCTTCGAGACGCGTTACGTAGTGGTGCGTCGACTGATACTTTAAGACAAATGATCAGGGAAGCAGTGTGGCTTAAAAAGAAGCAACACGCAGGTATGAAATTTTATCTCTTTAATCTGTATGATTGATATAGGATCATCAAAGATTATTTTGTCTCACTAGAAACACTAAGCTAGGTGTAAAGCGATAACGTTTATATGTTTCCGACAATATATGTGTTTCAGGAATGTTGAATCTATCCCGCATGGAAAACAGGCCAATGATTCTGATTGGGGGTTAATCAATTACATATTATGAGAATTTTAAGTTGTTATAGAATGATATATCGATGCTATACGCACAAACGTTATCGCTCGATTTGCTCACAATTACTAATGATACAATTCAAAAATGTTATATGTTTAACTTCATGTTTGTGTTTACAGTTACAAAGAAATATGTGCATCTTAGAACGTATAAAAATTTACGAAATAATGTACCACAACAGTATTTAATGGATCACGCGAGACCACAGTTCACAATTGATGCAAGTATAAGAGCATTTTCGTCACTCTCACACGTGGATCAAAGTGGCAAAGCGAGCATGGTAGACGTAGGTTCAAAAAACGAAACTAAGCGCGTCGCAATAGCAAGAGGAATTGTACAAGTTAATTCAGTAATAAGTAAATTGATAGCTGAAAATAATGTGAAGAAAGGCGATGTACTGTCCGTAGCACAATTAGCGGGTATCATGGCAGCAAAACGTACTTCTGATTTAATACCTTTGTGTCATCCACTTTCGTTATCTTACGCGAATGTACTTTTGCGTTTAAACGAAAAACTGCATCGTATAGAGATCACAGCGGAAGTTAGGTGTACCGGTAAAACCGGTGTTGAAATGGAAGCTCTTACAGCTGTGAGTGTTGCAGCTTTAACAATTTACGATATGTGTAAATACGCGGCCTCGCCGAAATCAATGAAAATAACCGATATCGAATTAGTTTCAAAAACTGGTGGTACAAAAGGTGATTTTTTAAGGGATTAAATTTTTATAGTTTATCTTTGAATATAGTGTACGACATAATATGTTTATATAACATATAAAAGAGTTGTATAATTTTATTCTGTTCAGTAGTATGACATTACTGAATTATATTGAATGTTTTTATACCGTATCGACGAAGGTGTAATCGCCATGATATGACGAATCTTATCATGTTTTGTATCGTAGAGGAATTTATACTAGCACATAAGTGTGTGTACCTGTAACTGTAAAAAGTAGGGAAATTCAAACTACATTGTATTATCGTGCAATATTTACAATTTCTTTTATTGGACGAATTTATAGTTTATTTTTATACATGTATACAATTATCACTGACATTCTTATAACATTTATAGACATATATATTTCTGTTAAACTGGATTAAACTGATTGTTGAATTATCGAAGCGTAATGTATCATTACCATTACACACACACACATATATATATATATATATATCGTATAATTTTGATTAGAAACGTTATATACTTTAGCCTCTTGGGTTCTCAAATATTTCCCAGGGTAATTGATCTTGATCGGAGATCTGCGTAATCACGGACAAACAAGACAATCGTTCGCAACAGAGATTATAAGAATGGATCGAGTTGTCGGCGCAATCGCAAATATCGGGAGCATCGCGAGGCGCCACTGCACCCTGATTTCACCTTTTTCGTTTCCTCGAGCCAGGAGCAGCATTCAGTATTTGGAACGCTATCGAAGCGCGCTGTTCTTGGAGCTGTTCCGTCGTCGAGTCTCTCCGTCGAATGATCGAGCATCGGAAATATAGCCCTACCGACGAGTGGTTCTGTTTGCGTTTTTTTTTATTTTCCGTTACCCCGTTGAAAAGAGACGACAACCTGTTATCATCGAGGCGAGAAGTTTGTTTGTCGAAAAACAAGATTTAATCGAATAATATCGTGCGGCTCTCTTTGATTTGCCGATTTCTGACAATGAGATCACAAAATCGTTAGAAGAGTACACTTATCAGAGATTACAATTATCGCTGTCTTGTGACAGAGAATCGAAGCACTCACGAATTATTATGCAGATGAAAATTTAGTTTCTTGCAAGAGGTAAAGAGAAAAAAAAAAAAAAAAGGAACGTCGGTTACATGACTGCCACGAAGAAGTTCTCCGGGAGATGGAAGGCGAGAAACTGCAATGATCGAGAGATATCCGACAGGGCATCGATGGTTCGCGGAGAGAGTTCGGTGAATCCTCGGTGGAACAGAAAGGACAACGATTGAAGATGAAAGAGTCCCGTGCGTAAAAAAAATGGCACCGTTCCATGGCATGGCCCTCATATTGCTTGGAATCGGATACCTGTTACACGCGGAGCCGCCTTCCGGTCACCGGAACTTAGGTACAAATCAAGTCCCAAAGCAATTGCGTGACAATTTTTGAAACGCAAATCGCTACGAGTTAACAATAATTGATACCGACGATCGAGGATCACAGAATTGGAACAGTTTAACGTTTCGACGCAACTTTTGACAAAATGACAAACACACTGTCCAATTGTAAAATCCCAAACGGAGAATGGAAGAATGGTTCTTCGATTATATTTGGCATTTTTGAACAAAGAATTAAAATCCTACGCGACTTACGTTTGTTCGCATGCAAAATTGGCTAGCGTTTCATGCTCGGGGTGGTTTCGTTTTCGACAAAAAAAAAAAA